CACTAACTATGTAATGGGCCCCTGTCTCATCAACAGAACATATTATATAAATGGATCAATACATCTGATATTATATTCAGATTCACCACCCTGTAACTTTCCACTGGCTATGAGGTGACATGTTCAATGCACGTGATAAGGTGTGCCCACGGGAAGCTGCGTCATACTATGCTGAGTAAAGGAATAAGTAGCCGTCTCTCTGGCCACCTGAAGCGAGCAGTAGTTTGATGTCCTTGACTAGAGGAAGACGTTATTTGAGAGCCGCAGTGGATGGCTCCGTCTTCCCTCGAGGGGGAACGACGTACCCATACCGTTCTCCCTCGATGGGTCACTACTCACGAGTCGCTCACAACAACTTATATCGTAAGGACGTGACCTAACGTTTATAATACATAAACGCCGTCCCTTTCTCATTCACTCCTATACAGTGAGACTTACGGTCGATCTACACTCAGGAAATATATATATATATATATATATATACAACCCTTTCATAATAAAACAAGGAACTACCGTTTGGGTTTCGTTACTTAAACCCAAATAATAAATATATGTGAACGGCCTGATTAATTGCACAAGCAGCCGATTCAACTATACTCTACACTACACACTACACTAACTAAACACTACACTATCTAAACACCACACCTACTACACATGCTCCTCTATATTAACTACACACTACACTACACAAAACACTAACTACACAGTCCGCACTATACTACATTATACTAACTACATACTACCCTACACTATGCTACACCAGCCAAGCAGTACTGTTGTTGACAAGTCATCACTGAATACTTATAATCATGATTCATTTTACTGTATACTTGACAAGAGACGCGGGAATACGTCATCGGCTCCACATTTCCTGGTTCCCTTTTTTTAAGTGTCCTTGATGACGTCATTTGCCGTTTTACACACACACACACACACACGTTTTTTTATTTCTGTTTCCTTGTGACATTTCTAAATATTGTATACTTGCATAATTTCGTGTATTCAGTGGGGTTTTTTTTTCGCTTCGCATTTCTATCTTATTTTTTATGATTTTAATTATTCCCTTTCATTTTGTGATTATTTTCTCTTATACTTTTCGCTGTTATATTTTTTATGTCTTTTTTATCTTGTATTTTTATTCGCTGCTTTGCATTACTCTTTTATTTTGGCTGCATTGTTAATTTTATCTATGACTTCTTTGTATCTTTTATATGTGTTATCTTTTATATATTTTATACTTATCATTTTTCTATACTATGAGCTCAAGATTTTCACTCACTTCCCTTTTAAATTATACACTGCTGCTCTTCCTCAATTACAGTTGTCGATTCCTTTTATTGGATAGAATTTTGTCTTTTCATGTTAGGTAATATTCAGTTTCTTCGTATTGAGAGCAAGATGTTTTGTAATGTAGCCTATACTTTTACTTCCACATTCCTGTCTTCCCATTTAAATGTTTGTATCAGTAAATTATTTATATACCGATAAAAACTATTTGTAATATTTATAAGGCCTCACATACTGCACCTGCTTTTCTGACTTTAGAAAATGACCGGCAATTGCCCCCCCCCCCCCAACGGACGGCCATGCCTAATATTAACCTAAAGTAAGTTAAGTAACGATAGCCTAACACAATATTAACCTAACACAACCTTAACCAATCATAACATTAACCTAACCTAACCTTACCTGAAATTGCCTTTGATATGTTACTTGTGGGAAGTTTGTGGGAGAACGGCAGATGTATGGAAGTGTTCTGTGTTGGGTCGTTTAAGAGGTTATTAATGATAAAACTACAAAAATATTAACCAATTATAATCTTAGCCGATCATCCTTAACACAACCTAACATGAACCAAACGTAATATTAACCTGAAGAAGCATTGACCTAACATAATATTAACCTAAGAAAATTAACCCAACATAACCTTGACCTAACATAACATTAACATAACCTTACCTGGCGTGATCTTAACTTAACATTTAACCTACTATATAAACTTGGACCGAGCATTAGATATACAGTAGCGTCTTTACAACTGAAAATTAATATTGGTAAGATCGAACAACTTCAATGTTTCCTAGTGATTGTTGGTCCGTCATCTTCCAACACCTTTCACAACCAACAATGTCACGCTTAGAACATAACACTCCATGACTTAACAGCAAAAAAGGAAGTGACGTTTCATTAGGAACTTGTTATTCGGAATTTCGACCAGTGTAAGTGAGCAAAACAGGTGTGCAGCTTAACAATGGAGTCTTACAGAATTGCTCTGGTTCATACCATAGTGATAAGGTGGTGTTCAACCGTGGCGCTGAGCAATGTGTTCGTCACTACAGGATGTCTCAGAAAAATATAACGTGAATGGTTGTATTACAATAGCAACATTGTCCTCACTTGTTGACCTCGCACACCACCGAGTGAGGATAATGTTGCTGCTGTATACAAACATTCACGCGATCTCTACGAAAATATATAAACCACTGTGTATATTTTTTGAAAACGAATATAAACTGTTACATAAATTTTCTTGTGATTTGACGCATCTTCGGAGAGGATCAAATCCAGAAATCTAAAAATCCCTGAGTTTAATTTGCCTCGTAACTGGAGTGGTGAGAACAAATTTATCAAACTGGCTCACCATAACACATGCACGCCATTAGGATATCGATCCACTAGTAATACCAAAACAATATTGAAGTTCTACCGTATCCAGGTGTATCTTTTCAGTTTATATTAAGAGGAAAAATGACAGGAATATCGGAGAAGCTTTTTATATAAGTAAGCACAAATACGCTTACTTTCACAGTCTACGGACCAGCTGCATGGACCTAGTTCCACCCACATGCTGGGGAAAGTCATTCATACAAAGGTCCAACTTTCACTACCATTGTTGTTACCGTGATGTCAATATATTTCTCAGAGGGGATTTTAGTTTCCTCTAGCATGAATATCTTTACTTTAAAATTGACTCGTGAAAGTTTCTAGGTGATTTGGGATGATAATTGTACGTTCAATGGTTCAGGTGACAGTGGAAAATAGTGCTGATACACCTGTTTCCCGTCTCTTTTTTTTTTCATTCTGGCTTTTCTTTTTCCCTCTCTCCACCTTTTCGTGGTTTATAATGCACTAAATCGTACCTGTAACACCAAGTCATCATGACGGCTGGCAATTGTATAAATTTTCTGCCTGTAACCACGGCTTGGTCTCTTTATTTTTCTGCCTGTAACTACGACTTGTTCTCCTTATTTTCCTGCCTGTAACCACGACGTATCCTTATTTTCCTGCCTGTAACCACGACTTGTCCTTATTTTTCCTGTTTGTAATCACGCTAACTGACCATTAAGAAAGTTCAACCATAAGTCAGACAGATCACAAACTTTTGGTCTCCTTCCAACATTCTCTCCTCTCTTCCACCTCCACTCCTTCCCTTCCCACCCCTTCCACTCATACTCTCCCGTCCTCTCACTCCTTCTCTTAATACTTCCCCCTCCTAACACTTCTCCTCACCTCCCATTTCCCATTCCTTCTCTTCCACTGACACTCACCCGTTGTTTTGTTCCTCCCATCTACCTTCCACTTTTTTTATCTCCCCTTCCTCTTCACTATCACATTCGTCTCATTCCATTTCTTTCTCCTTCTCTCAGCATCTTTCTTTCTCACTCTCCTCTCCCCAACCTCCAACTATACTTCCTCCCCACCTTGTCCTCCCCACCACACAGTCGCCCCACCCATCTCCACTATTGTCTCCCAATCATCATCCTCTTCTCCCCTCCCCCACCCCCCTTTTCCCGCCCCTTCTCTGAAACCTTAATTACACCAGGCAAAAAGAACTAGGGAAACGCCCTCTTAACTCAAAGTGATTTCCTCTAAGATACTCCTACTGTCTATTAAGATACTCCTACTGTCTATTAAGATACTCCTACTGTCTATTAAGATACTCCTTCTGTCTATTAAGATACTCCTACTGTCATGCCAGATTAGGTTAGGATAGGTTAGGTTAGAGATTTATCAAGGTCATATCACATTAGGCTTCGTATCGCTCCCACAATATACTCAGCGGTGGTTAATGCAATTCTAGAGTTAATGAAATACTTATCCTCGTCCTTACGTTCACCTCACGCCGTTAAAGGAGTAGGTTAGTTTTATGTTTGTCTGCCAGCGAGAATGTTCACGTGAAGAATGAGGCCTTCGTTTAAACCCAGTACAGGCAATTACGTACAAGTTATGCTTCCGTCTGCCATGTGTGTGTGTGTGTGTGTTTCTTTGTCTGTGTGTGTTTAGTATCTGTGTATAACCACTATAGCCACCCAAATTCCTACAACCCCCCACCATCCCCGCAACAACTCCAATCACCATCACTTTCGTAACCACCACTACAACAACCATAACCACAACCACCACACTATGGTAACCACACTGTATATTGCATAACCACGACCACCTGACCTCCGTGCCCGCTTGTGGCTAACAGGTAGATGGAGGGGAGAGGGGGTGGGGGGGAGTGGTGGGCCTAGATGAATGGGTAAGGGTTAAGGGAGTAATAAAATAGGGATGGGGTAGGGGTAAACCAGGGACGAGGGGGCGTGAGAGGAGTCTAGCGAGTGACCGTCACTGCTCATCTGCCTCAGGTGTTGGTGGGTATAGGATAGTAAGTAATCTTCCTCTTGCTCTACCCCGACCTGCGACAAGTTAGGTGTGGGTTCGTGTACTCCCCATCTCTTATCTTTAATTTATTATTGCAGTTTTTATCTATTGGGTCATCATAATTGTCACAGTGAGGTAAATATATAATAAAAAGGGCTTCCAGTTGATGACGTATCCCCGTGACCAAGACGGTACTGGGCAGAAGCGAGGGAAGATCCTGCTGGGCGCTACAAAAACCAGTTAACTTTGAAGCAGCCAATGGCGTGCAGGGAGAAGCTAGCGGGACGGGCAGAGGACCAATGAGGCGCCAGCAGCCTCGGGAAGGAAGAGGGTATAAAGTGGCGGTGGGTTTCCTCGAGACCTGTGTGACAATACTTCTCCAAGACAGCAACATCATGAAGCTCCTGGTGGGTGTCGCTGTGTGGTGCTCTCTGCCACCCTGTGTTCGTGTGTTAGTAGTGTCGCGTGGTGGAAACTTATAGTGTATGTACAGTATTTCTTGTAAAGTCGGTGATAAGGCTAGAAATTTTCATAATAGTTATGTGAAAAATATGTTCCATTAACCCACAAGGCTTCCTTATCTACGGAACTGGACATTTTGACATCTTAGTTGCCGTGACAGTGTTCACCTTTCTACCCCGGCACTCTGCTGGTGCCAAGATAACTCCTTAGATTATGCATATATGCACATACTGCATACTAATTACCAGCACCTTACGAAGAGATCATTATAGCTGAATGATTCGCAGCAGCTCTTTTACTTGTATGTCATCGCCTTGACTCACAGTAATACCTTCGCAAAGAAAACGAGATCCAGTCACAAAGATGTCCTCTACCTGGAGATGAAAGACAACATCTTGTTATGGTGATATTTTTGCCAATTTAACCTCATTTTGACGATCATTTTAGTGCACCCGAAGTGAGTCAGTTATGTGTTCTCATCTCCAGGTTTTGGGAAACTAATATTAACGTAAGAGCCTTTAAGTCAAAAGCTTGTGGTATAACAATTAAATTCCGGATTTTTTTCTATATTTTACATCAAACATTCAAGTATTCCTTTAAGCGAAATGGCATCTATGGACATAACAACCACTATTACCCTAGTGGTGGACATTTCTTGGGGCTGTCAGGTTGGTTTAATTCTATACTTGTAAAGTTGACGGGTGGTCCATCCCACTAAGATCCCATTGATCCATCACGCTAATGGTTCCTTGGGACTGATCCATCACGCTAATGATCCCTTGGGACTAATCCATCACGCTAATGGTCCCTTGGGACTGATCCATCACGCTAATGATCCCTTGGGACTAATCCATCACGCTAATGGTCCCTTGGGACTGATCCATCACGCTAATGATCCCTTGGGACTAATCCATCACGCTAATGGTCCCTTGGGACTAATCCATCACGCTAATGGTCCCTTGGGACTAATCCATCACGCTAATGGTCCCTTGGGACTAATCCATCACGCTAGTGATCCACTGGGACTGATTTGTCGTGTTAAAGGGCTCTTCCTATGTCGTTTTTTCTATACATTTATACCTTTTCTTTATCAAGTCCTTCATCTACTTCTTTCACCTTATAAGTTTTATCCCATCTCTCTCTCTCTCTCTTCTGGAATCCTACAGTCCTTATGATTTTCATTAACATTCCTCAAATAATTTCCCTTTATTAATATTGTAACTAATATCCCTTCTTTTATTTTGTATTTATTAAAGCCTTGGTGAGGTGAAGTTCGATAAGCTTAGATTAGGTTAAGTTCCAGTCTTCATTATTTACTTGAACATTTAACACATCTCTCAGTTTTCTTCGTTAACATTAACTCTCTTAAACATCACTATTCTAGTTTGTTACTTATTTCCTCCAATTTATCCTCATCTTTCTTTAATATTCTCTCCATACTTCACTAATTATTGTAACACTACCTTCTCCTTTTTTATTCTACATCTATAATCATCCTTTACTTCATTTTCCCAACTTTTATTTCCTCTTCTTTCACACACTGCTCTCACTCATCCACCACGTGTTCTCCATTCACCACTGTTTACTGGTACATTAACCTCCATGTATTCTGAATGTATCATTATTTTTGTATCTTTATTACAAAAGATATTCTCCTCCCCCTCCCACACACACGCACACACATTTTAAAGCAACCTCCACAACTCTTCGATATTTTGAACGAACATTTCAACACTCTTCTCCCTCTCTCTCAGTTCATTGTGGATATAATCTATTGTTACTAAACTGACCTCCATTACAGGGTCAACTTTTCACCTCTTTGGGCTTGCCTTACTTGACCACTATGAAATAAACACCGTGAGCGGGTGGAGAGGGGGGAAGGGAGAGGAGAAAGGGAGTGTAATCACCTCTAATCATGCCGTTGCCATGACTAATGTTAATCTCCGCTTTTTAAATAAGTCCTACCATAAAGTTCAGTCTTTCTTTGTACATCCAGTGTAATTGTGAGACAAAGGAGCGTGATAATTATACACCTTCACATATAATACAGACTCCCAGCAACATTATCAACCAGTAATTATGTGCGGTGTCGCGTTCTGCTGTGTCAGAACTATACATTAACTGAACAATACGTGGAAATAAATATATCAGTTGTAAGGTCAAATTCTGTTTGTTTGTTTTTGTTTTTTTAAGTAACATTGTAGGGATGGTCGCAACAGATTGTTCTGTAACACAGGGATAAGTTTTTTTATTTGTACTGCTAGAACTCCCTGGAAATTAAAGTATTTATGGTAAAACATACGGTTTCATTTGTCAGTCTTTTTTTACAATAAGTAATGCCAGTAGAAGCGGCGGTCGAGTGGATACAGCGCTCGCCTCCTGTTCCAGGGGTCAGTGGTTCGGTTCCTTAAGTTTATAACTTGGGGAACTGAATGCAGTCGAGTGCAACACCGGCCATGCTGCCTCCTTGTGTACCCGGAGGCTTAGTATACAGTGTGCTGTATCCACACTGTCCTTAGTATAATAAACAATATATATAAGAATGTTACTTTATGAGGAAACTCGAACACCATCAGTCAATTCATCGTTATATTACTCAAGGAAAACAAAGACTTCTCAAAGTTGTGTAAAATAAGGGAGAGAGAATAATTCAAAATGAAATAAAGGTAGGAAAGTAAGAGAGACAGAGAAAATAATCCAAAACAAAATTAATATTCACTAATAATCCCCAAGGTCGAAAAAATCTTACGACATAAAACTGGACTCTGTTCCAATCGCAGAAGTTGGTTACGAATCATTTTTTGTGAGCACCAATCGCACTGCAAGAAAACTCGTATCTTCACATTCCAATCTTTACAACTATGAATTAACCTTGGTAATAATCGTAAGAAAATCATATCCAATCATTCAAATTTCGTTTCATTTTTAGCACCAATCGGTAAAATCATTCGATACAAACATCAATTCTAATCACTTCACTTGCTCTTCAACCTTGGCACTAATCGCAACGTTAAATTAATATAATTTCACCTTAACTGCTAACCTCAAGACTGCTTCATAATGTGTTATTTCGTTGTAATTGACTCATAACTCCCATAAAATGTATTATTATCCGAGAACTCCACACATGTTGAAATCTGGCCTTGCTTATACGGTAGGCAGCGTCCTTGTGTATGTGTGTACGTTTGTGCATGTGGTGAATACGTTTGAGTCTGTGTGTACGTTTGCGTGTGTCCAACTCCGTAACTCAAAGTCGTTCAGGTTCCCAGTCTACCATGACCGCACGACGGGTGAATGTTCGCCAGGCGTTGGCTCATTACGATTTTTTTTTTTGCCTGGTGGCAGTTAACGCCAGACGCTGCAGAGTTCTCGCGTGTGTATGGACTTCCGTCTTTCACGTCGCCTCCTGTTTCTAAATGACCCTGAGACCAGATCCATATTGGTTAGTAAGGTGACGTTCCCCTATACAACTGGAGGTGCAAGAGTGCACTTCTCCGACTCACTTCAGCAACGAAACGTTCCTTAAAATGGCGTCGACAGTACACTGAGGCTATATAGGGGATAAATTTAACGTAGGGAGAATCTAGGTCGTGACGTCTTGTATCGAAAACAGAGAAAAAAATCTTGTGAGAGACAATGCTGGGGGCGGGGAGGGTCTTGCACCGTTAGGATACTTACGCAGGACGTGCTCTTGTCTTCATTTGTTATGTGTGTTTGAGTATCTCTGTATTTGCTCATATGGGTGTTAGTGGGTATTTGTGCACACAGCCCGCAGTCGGATATCTACGTGCCCCTGTGAATGCATGTGTGTATATATTTTAGTATTTTGTTTGCATATGTATGTATGCACGACTAACTGTATACCCGTCACGATGTTCGTGTGTACAGGTGTGTACAACAATTCACGCACACACACACACAAACTATAATCAGCGAATTTACAACACAATTTCACTTTATATCAGAAGTTGTGCAGTATATAATGTTTCTGTCAGATTCTTCATCATCACCACACCTCCCTCTTCCACATGACTGTTGCATCATACCCTCCTCCTCCGCCTGATGAGCTAAACTCTCCCCCTCTCTCCTCCTTTCCCTCTCACTTCTCCACGGTTGCAGGGAGAGGAGAGGAGAGAACCCCACTAACAAGCTTCTCTCCACCCCTTCTCCTCCTCCATCGTTACAGTAACTGGAGAAGGGGGATTAGGAGAATAACCACTAATCTCCCCACATCCTTGACCCTCTCCTCACCTTCCATCCCCCCTACACACACCTTGACTCATCCCTGACATTTAAGCTCTGCCATCTTCACTAGTTTTTCTTCAACATGCTGCTGCCGCTGCCGCTGCTGTTCATCCTCCATCCAGCTTCTACACCAACAATGAACGCCCTACATCTTCCTAACCACTTCAAGATATTAAGTTGTTTGTCTATCATTTATAAGTTTTTTCTATCTACGCACAGTACATTTACATTGGTTGTATACCTGCACAGTCTATGTCCATGAAGAACTATTTGTAAACTTATATTATGACGATTTACATAATAAATATCTATTTATCTAGCAATATTTGTAGTTAAAACAAGCGAGGTAATACCAAAACGGCTCTCATGAGGATTAAGAACAGCAGCTTATTTCACCTAAAGATTAAACACCCAAATGATAACCTGACCAAACCCTGATTTAGCGTTAGGGTGTTAAGTCACTAGATGAAATAAGCGGGGTCCTAATCTTCATAAGATCCATGGAAACACTTGGACGTGTGTGTGTGTGTGCACGCTTTATATCAAATTACTCTGGTATATATAATTGTGTTGGGACATGGACTTGTGTGAGTGTGTGAAGGTGTTAGTACGTGTAGCTGTTCTTCCCAGAGGCACTTTTTAAATACTTTAGATCCGTCTAAACCCATTCGAATCCGCTTAGATCAGCTTGAATCCGCCTAAATCTGCTTGAATTAATTTATATCCGCCTAAATCCATCTAAATCCGTCTACATCGTCAAAATCTAAATTGGGTTCAAAATTACCCGCCCACTGTACCCATGAGAACGATTCCACCTCGAGGTAACTCCAAAATTAGAGGGATGGTGGCGACTTCCTCTTATTCTACACCACTTCCTTCTCCTCCTTCTCTACCTCTTTTAGAACTTGATCATATTCATCTTTTTTCGTCTTCCTTTTCCACCTCCACACCTATATCCTTTTTCTCTTTTATTTCTCCTTATCATCCACCATCACCTCCTCCTCCTCCCCATCCACTACCTACTCCTTCTCTTCATCTACCTCCTCCTTTTCATCCACCACCACCTCCTCATCCGTCATCCCCTCGGTGGGTCGTTCTCAAGGACACACCAGCCATTCTTCCTCCTTGTCTTCTGTATAGTTTCCATGACTCAATCTCTCCCCCCCTCTCAGTGGGTTGGCGAGCCGCTGAAGGTCTGATAGGAAGTTGTGATCGTATCTAAGTGGGTTATGATCCTCTGTTAGTCCATTTTCTTTCAAGCTTAAGGATAGGTTAGGTTAACGTTAGGTTAGGCTAGCGTTAGGGTGGTTAATGCTTAGGTGGAAATAAGTTGGGGTGGAGATTCTTCAGGTGATGCAATCTGAGTCAGTGTACCTTCGTATACCTATCGGAGAAAGAAGATTAGTGGATGAAAGAAACAAGGAAGAAGAGGAAAAACAGGAAGAGTTTAATATCATTCTGAAATACTTTAAGAGTGTTAACCTGCAGAGCCTTGAGTGGGTTTATCAGATCGAGTTATTTATGTTATTCGGGAGGTTTAATGACCATTTTCTTTCTTTGTCTCCCAGATCCCCTGAAACTCCACTCACGCAACACAACAATTTACGCTGATTACTACCATTATGTATAAGAAGGAGGCGAAGAGACGCTACCACTGACTTACTAAACCTGTTTTGTTCCCGCGATTATTATTCTCTGTTTTTTGTGTCTCTCTCAGTACCGTTTAGTTCCCATGATTATTGGTGTATGTGTCCGTATCTGTATTTGGTTCTGTGTGTGTCTGTTTTTCTCTAAGTGTCTTCTTGTGTGTTCCTCTTCCCCATTTCCACTCCCACATAGTGTGTGTCTGGGCGCGTTTTTCTTTCTATCTTTGTCTCCTCTTTTCCGTTCTCTTTGTCTTTCTGTTTGTCTTTCCACTCCCCATCGTCTCGCTCGATTAAGCCAAATTACTTCAACATAACCCTTGCATTTCCAACACACACACACACACACACACACACACACACACACACACACACAATATTTGGCGTTAGCAATGATCAACTCTCATGCCACACAAAAAAGTAAAATCAAAGAAATAGTCATAAGTTGTGATGGCGCTACCTGGAGATTTAGGTTAGATGGAATTATTTTATGCAAGGTTAAGCTAGGTTAAGTTACCTGTTAGTTAGGTTAAAATTGGGCTGGTTAATCATAAGGTGAAATAAACAGGGGACCATTCTGCCAGACATACAAGTAGTTAGTTAATTAATTCTCCCGCTGGTGTTGTGGGTCGCCTGAAGGAGCAGGTGTTGAGCAATTTATAGTGTTATGACCCGCCAGTCTGGTTATGTCCCATCCTCTCCTTCTTCCCCTTCTTTTCCTCTCTCTTTTCACACCGATTCTCGCTTACTATTCTTCCACATTTATTACCTGACTTGTTTTTCTGAATATTTGGGATCTTTTTGTGTCCTATGTCTCCTCTAATCCTTCCACAGTGATTCTCAGTTCCACCTTCCACCTCGGCTCTGTCCTCCAATCAGTAAAGTTCACAGACGTATACCTGGTCAGACTGGCTTTCCCTGCCGGTACATCCAGAGGTGATGACACTCGCTATCCTTGGCCAGGTCCTGATCCACCTACCTGGTCCTCTAAGTAGATGATTGAATGTTCTGTCCAGTATCAGTCACTGTGATCCAGTTTGCCAGGACATGATGCATTATATTTATCTAGAGATGAATATTTGGATCCAAGAGGAGCCAGAATTTGATCTACGTGCCTTGATCTATACACTCACGCTACATATTCTCCCAGTACTGTAAATTTTAGATCCAGGGAGCCAGAACTTGATCCAGACTCCTAAAATATCAAGCTACCTGGATTTATTTATGGATCCAGCTGGTCTGAGCTCATCCAAATATGTAAATTTTTAACACAGATACATTGTTATCCAGCAGCGGTTTGTTCTTGATTCATATGCCTGGAACTTTATGTAACTGGTTTTGATATTCACCCAGGCCTCAGATCTGTGCCTCAGCTGGTGTCTGGTTCTCTTTCCAGCTTTCAGATCCACAAGTTCCACTTGATAGAGCCGCTCTTACCAGAACTTGTCTTCTCTATTAGAGTATTATGGTATGTGGGTGGTGGAGAGGTGGTGCTCTGCCTTCCTTGTACAATCTTCCTTCCTTATAGCTTCCTTGTTTGTATCTTCCTTCCGTATAACTTCCTTTCTTTGTATTTTCTTCTTCGCATCTTCCTTCTTCGTATCTTTCTTCTACGTATCTGTCTTCCTTCTTCTTATCTTCCTTTCTTTTATTTACCTTGTACCTTCCTTCCTTGTTTGTATCTTCTCTATCTTTCTTCATGAATGGTGAGGATATGACCTTCCTCAACGGATCCTCCAAACCCTCCCAAGGTTCTTCGGTCTGGTTCACCTGACTAGGAATTACGACTGCAGGAGGAGGAAAAGGGGCGGACAGAAGGTAATTAGAGAGCATCATGATAAAAGGGTAAAAATGGAAAGGAGAAGGAGGGGACGGAAAGAAGAGACGGACACACGGACAGAAGGTGATAAACGGGTAAAGATGAAAAGGAGGGGGGCGGGAACGGAAGAGAAGGAGGAAGAGACGGACAGACGGTGATTAGTAAGCATTACTAAAGACAATATACACTCAACAAAAACATCTCGAACACCTGGACATGATGGATGTGAGAATGAGCAGAATGGGGCGTCACCTCGGAATGGTTTCAAATTCTTCGTTTAATTTTTCAGATTGCATAGTGCTTATAACGTCCGAGAAGTTTTTGGTGAGAGTGTACATACACAGTAGAAGTATACTATGTACTCAAACACTACAGGCATACAAACAAAAGTAAACAGTAAGCTGATTTGACCAAGTGGGAGGGAAGTAGGGAGGTAAGGAGAGTGGGAGTGAGATACTCAGGCTGGTTGGATTTACCCTTTGAGTGAAAAGGAAAGGAGGAAGATAATAGAAAAGGAGGGAAGTGAGGTACGGTATGATAAGGAGGAGTGGGGAGTGGCAGATGGAAGGGGAGAGGTAAACGAAGATAAAAATTAAGAAAAAAACAGAGGAGGGGGGGAATTGAAGGGAGGGCCAGAAGGAAAAGTGAAGAACTATATTAGAAGATTTTGTTTCTTAAGCAAATTCATTGTTAAAACTCATATTTGAATTCAGCTAAAACAACTTGTGTAGCTTGGACATTCTTCCAGTGTTTATATATTAACAAAATCATTAACAACTAAGCTATCAAAGAGAGAGGGAGACATACAGAAAGAGATGGAACTCCGAGCCTCCAAAGATATGTGGCTAGAGAACCAAGGGAGATTCTCACCCTCGTAGAACCAAAGACTCCCAGCATTGTTATGAAGACCAGGAGGAATGTAGCCAAGGAAAGTATCCTGGGTAAAGACAGCTACCATGACCTACTTATTGTGGTGATGACTATGGCACTCGTTTGTGTCAAAAGAACGTGATGCAAATAGTTAAGAAAGGCAATATGACTAGAATGTTTGGTCAAGTGAGAGAGAGAGCGAGAGACAGTGGAGGAAGAACAAAGGACAGTGAAAGTTAAGGGACCAGAGCCTTGGATTCTCAAAGTTTTGTACATTGTAATATAAATTATCCCCCTCAGCTGGCTGTACAAAAACTGATAGATATAATAGAGTCTCGGAGCAACTTTGAAACCATTTTACCCGTTACCTCTCTGTTTTAGTTTACTTGAACCACAAGTCAGGAAGAAAATTTAATGTACGAATCTTTGAGGATCAGGTCTATGGGCAGTGATAAAATGCCGAATTTCATCACTATTAATGGTGGATCTCGATACTTCCACTGATTAAATCTTGTCAGTTGTGGAGATGGTGACGGAGGTCCTGGTGGTGATGAGGGGTGGTGGCATTCATCGGGTCGTGGTTTATACACAATAAGAGATAATATAAGTTTCACACGCAATCATTTCTTACATAAAAATTTATAAACACCATATCAACATTCATCATTCTCTTTCATCTTCCGCAGTTGGTGTTCTCAGCGCTGATAGTGGTGGCAGCGGCACAGTTCAATCAGGTGAGTGTGGCCACGACCTGTTCTCTTACTGAGAGTGGAAGAAGAATCCTAAGGAAGGGAGGAAGTCATGACAAAGGGGAAAAAGAACAAAGGGGGAAAAGGATAAATGTCAGGGAGTAGGAAAGTAAGATAAAGAGATAGAGAACCTAACCACCTACCCTGCACCCTCCACCAGGCAAGGTTCCCCTCCAGCCGCCGTGCCGCCTTTCTCCGCTTCGATGATGACTTTGATGACTACCTCGACGATGACCATGACTCTTTGGAGGACCTGTACGAAGACCTCTACGACGACGATGCTGATGATCGCGCCGAGGCCCGTGCAGCGCTGACCCGCCTGAGAGCCTCTGGAGCAGTCACAGGCAACACCTTCAGGAACAACAGATTTATCAATAACAGGTATAACAGAACACTAATACTCCCACCATATAGAGGAGCATCACTGCTGGCAGAAGGCGAGCAAACGTTCTGCCGACGTATCATCCATAGGCTTTTAACTTTAATTTTTCTGCATGCTGCCATAGAGGTTTGTTGGCATACGTCTGGCATAGGTTTCATGAGCGCCCAGTACGCCCATTGCATTATTCTATAATTTGTGAGAAAATGTTTAACACAGGTTTATTTATGTTATTTATATCCAACACTGACTTGAAGTTAAATCAATAAACAACAAACTATAAGAAATCACAACTCACCTGTAATGCAGTTTGATACATGTGCCAATTAGCTTCTTAGTCGATATATTTCAAAGTTCAGCATTTTATGTGTTATATTTCTCATTATAAATTTCGAAATTATGCATTATTGAATCAATTAAATATTTATAATACCAAAGTGATTACCTTCGGGTATTCTTAGCGAGTCATTCATTGTGAGTGGTGTAACATCCTTAGCTTTTTGCTTCCAGGAGAAACAACAGATTCAGATCAACAGGCTCCACCAACAATGGCTTCGTCAACAGGTTCCCCAGCACCAATCGTTTCAGCACCTCTAGACCCACCATCGCTCCTCACAGTTTTTTCACTCCAACACCTAACCCAACCCCAAGCCCTTTTAGGAGCTCCACTTCTAACAACCGCTTCGGTAGCTCCACCACCAACCGCTTCGGTAGCTCCACCAACAACCGCTTCGGTAGCTCCACCAACAACCGCTTCGGAGGCCCCAACAACAATGCTTTCGTCCAACCACTGTCCAACAGTATCACCGCCAACAACCCCTTCACCACCAAGACCACCATCACCCCCAAGTTCAACAGCATCTCCAGCAACAGGAAGACATCCTCAGCCTCATCCCTCAAGACCCTACCTTCAGGACTCAATTGGCCTGGGGGTAATGGCTACTTCTTCAGTATGAGCACTCACGGAGCCGAACCTGTCACATACTTCATCCGTTACGACGACTAAGACACTCCAAGGCAGTTCGGACGCGTCAAGAATTTGTTCGACGACAAGGACACAACCAGAGAGTCCTCAACCTGTCACTTTCATCCACTAGGTTAACAAGAATCCAGTCAAGGGATTCCGGCACTACACTTTTTTTTTTTGTACAATAAGGAAATACAAGAATCAGCCATGATGATTAGGATTGCAGTAGAGTTCCAGATCATCAAATTAATTTATCTGGCTTATCTGAATTTTCTGACAATAACGATATTACGGAAATGTCTTGATTTTTTAAGGCGGGTGGAGTAGTGACGGGTGACACTTGATTCCTAAGTTCATGGTCTGTCCAGGTGGTGTTCTGGGTCCTGAGTGAAGATTTCTGATATTAACTTATATCCTTATAACTAAGATTCGAAATACTGTACGTGTATGATTATTCGTATATATATATATATATATATATATATATATATATATATATATATATATATATATATATATATATATATATATATATATATATATATATATATATATATATATATATATATATATATATATATATATATATATATATATATATATATATATATATATATATATATATATATATATATATATATATATATATATATATATAGATCTGTTATGTATTATGTATGCTGGCATATGTCTTGAAAGTCTGATATATACATAAATATATGCAGATAAAAATATTCAGTATTACTATTTTGATAATCTGACTGACTCTTTCATGTTACACTTACAGAAATAAAACATTTTAAATTATAACAAATTGGTATTTTTCCTAATCGTAGATCCTAATTTATCACTGTCAGCCCAAGTACAGCAGAGTCTCTCCTCGACTTACGACAGGGTTCCGTCCCAACGACCAGGTCGTAAGTCGAAAAGGCGAAAATAATACATAAAAATTCTAAAATGGGTGTCTCTTTTTCTTCTCAGCACTACGAGAACTCTCACTTTTACACTTGCCAGCCATTTTAAAGGGAATTACAAACGAAAATTTTGTCAGTACTGTACAACCTACACAGCGCGATCACTAACGTCGGTACTAGAAAATACGTAATTTGAAAAATATTTTATACGACCTCGGCAGTCGTATGTTTGGGTTGTCGTATGTCGAGTAGGTTGTAAGTCGAGGAGTACCTGACTATTCTTAATCGAATTGAGTTGGTGAATAACATATTTTAGTTTTAAACAATAATATATACAGTACAGGGGGTATAGAATGAATAATAGCAGCACCAATGTATGGATGAACAAATACAGTATAGTGTATCGTGCTACCATCAAACCTACAACAATACATTAAATAGAATACAACATTGATATAAAGATGCATGTCTAAGCATTCGTGATGGGCTGTGACGTCCCCATATCTGATGGTTGGCAACCACAGTCCTCAATTTTATATATATATATATATATATATATATATATATATATATATATATATATATATATATATATATATATATATATATATATATATATATATATATATATATATATATATATATATATATATTTTACTTTGATTATGCAGTCAGGGCAATACCAGCAACAGCCTTCATGCTTTACCACATTAAGTATCGTCCTAAACGCTGAATTGCCCAGACCCGCACAATATACATCCGACGTCGCCCTGCAGTAATTGCACACCAACAGACTTCCTGGTGACACTTTAGCCACTGATTTCCTACGCCTCATGGCTGTCGCTGTTGGGGAGGTGGGGGTGGGGGGTGCAGACTCTGTACGAATCTGCTCAGCCTAAAGCCCAGTTTACACTGTGATATAAGGTAATTCTAATTGTTGACTTAATAATAAAAATATTAATCTTTATTATTACTATGATAATTGCTTCTAAACTGAGCCTTTCTCAGGGGTTGCTGTGGATTTAGTTGGTCCCCTATTTCCTGTATCATCTGAAGGTCACAGGTACAGTACTAAGATCTTAATGCTGATAGATTTTGCCACAGGATTTCCAAATGCTTTGCCCTTGGAGAGATAATTGAATCTGTTGATGAAGTATTTATTCTTATTGTTTTCAGGGTTGGCATTTCAAAGGAGATTCTTTCTAACAGTCACACAGGTCATGTCTCAGTGAATGAGAAAACTTCACAACTCCTAAGAGTTAAGCCACTGTTCAGCACACCCTATCATCTCAGTGGTAGTGGTAGAGTTGAAAGACTTCATTCCATTTTTAATCTCTTGGATACTAAGGGTTCCCTCTGTGCTGAATAAAATTGTCTGGCATTAGCCAAATAAAATGTAAATGATGTCCAGTAGTAAAGCAGTTAGTGGAGATAGTACCCCTTGGGTACTAGGGGTACCTCTGTGCTGAATAAAATCGTCTGGCATTAGCCAAATAAAATATAAGTGATGTCTCGTAGTGAAGAGATTAAAGCTCCACTCCATAAAATATGTGAAGATAAGCAAAAAGACTGGCACTGTAGTACCGATTGTGTTAATTTTGCTAGTTGCGATAAAAATTTGACAAGAAATTGTCCCTTTTTTCGTTAGACAAATGTCAATCGTGTAATTTTGATTAGTATATCATCCTAGAATTACAAAAAGAACTTAATATTTTCCCTTTTTAAGACTGCAAGTTGCTACACAATAAAGATGTGTGTTTTGGTTGTTTATAATGTACTACAGTATATGTTATCTGTCTGTAATTTAATTGCGCAATTGAAAACTGTACTGTAATAATTTATATTTCGGCAATTTGATCAAGGATAGTTGACAAAGCCAATTGGAAGGATATTTCCAGTAGAGCCCTTTCTTTTAAAGATAAATTGGAAGAATGTGCAAAAAATTACCGCTCAGAATGCTGATGTCAGTTCTAGTAGATTTAGAGTTTATGTTGACTTTCTTATGTTCCAAGATAAGATATTCAAGTCAGGTTTTGAAGTACTAGTACTTCTTCCTGATAATGCCAGCAAGTTTCTCTTGCCATGGACCCCTATTTTGTTCTTGATTAACTTGATTCAAAGTAGCATAATAAACTTAGAAAATCCCTCAATATCACAAATTAGGGAAAAAATTCAAGTAAAATATGGATGTATATATTTAATACAAAACTCCAACATGAAGATAGGCCTCACAGGAGACTAAATTTGGGGAACTGTATATTATCTTACTAACAACTGATCTATTCAATTAATCCATTGACAACTGACTGGTCCACATAGTCCAGTGTATTATTAGCAATTAGGTGTTCATTATCATTATTATAAAAAAAGGCTTCAATCCAAAAGGTATTACAAATGCCTTTGAAAGGCTATTTAGTTATTGCCATACACATAAATTTATATTCAAATATACTTTTTCATCTATGATAAAAATAGTGTTTGCACTATCATTCATAATCCATTTGAAAACTGTTAATTTTTCCTGTAAAAAAATTAATGACTAGTTTTCTAAACAGAATTAATAAGCAATCCCAGTAAAATTTATGTACAGATTTTCCTGATAAGTTATAGATATACAACAAAGCTACATTGATACAGCTATCATTAACTCAAGTTATAACACAACCTGTACAATAAATGCTAACTTTTATTACAATGGAAGCTTGGAAGATGTCACAGAGGTTCAATGGAGTATGGTGTCAACTGAGAAGCTGTGTATAAGGTAGATAATTTTTCCTTGGAATAAATAAAGTTGTGGATATCAGAACTTGCAAGTTACTGTACAGCATCTTTGCTGTTTTTTGAAGTAAACATACTTCAGTAGGAATTTAAACGCCTTGAATATTTTAGTCACAAGTTAAACTAAATAATTACAGTAATATGAAGTGACTAAAGGAGAGAGAAGTGAGTAATTAATAGTAACTTAGGTAGATGAGCATGTTTATGGTAACAAAAAGATATTGAGAGATTCTGTTTGCAGTAGATGACAACATAGAGGTTAAGAATTAAAGCAATAAGACACTTGCTCATAGAGAGGTTAAAACACAATGGCTTAGGGCTTCTAAAAATGTAATGCCTTGGTGTCTGATTCTTATCTTTTCAGTAAGTGCCAAATCAAATGTACTACAGTGTGTCTTTTATCACATGATTCTTAGATGTAGTAGGATATAAATGCAATATTCCAAGAACAGCCAACTTTGTCAAAACATATTATACTGTATAGAAATCGTTAAACCCACATAATAATGAGAATATATCTAATCCTTTCATGAATAAGTTTATATATATATATGGCAAGTCATAAGCATATCCAGTAGGAATTTTTATGCATATCCAGTAGGAATTTTTATGTTTACTTTTAGATAATTACTAGATGTGGCTGATCCCAAGAGGTATAATCCCCCAGAAAAAGTGAAACTTGTGCTCCTATACGCTGCTGGAATTAGAAGCCACAGCTAAATCATTGCATGGTTCCATTTTTCCAACAGTTTATGCCACATGGAGTTAATTATCTCAGGTAAAACATAACATTAACAGCATAAAAGCTCCATTGGACATAACATATGACTCACTGTACAGTATATACAGGTACAGTACTGTACTTTGTATTGCATGTGCTGTACTTACTCATGAAGAATTGTTTTCCTAATCTAAGTTTGGCCTAGTATTCACATACAGGTATGGGACCATTTATCCAGCATACTTGAAACATTATAACTTAAAATTGTAGGCATATAAACAGCAATAACGAAAGCATATAAATAGTACAGTAATAATGAGCATAAAAAGAGCAAAAATTATACAAGTTAATGTATACTGCGTCACAATCACCCAATACTTGCCTCAGCAAAAGCGATTCCCAGTAGACCCTATGATCTCCACACGGCTTCACAGTGGAAATCCATAACTACATAAATCTTTATACCTCATAATATTTTTTTTTCACTTTCCGTGTGTAGGATTGTGTGCATATAACCGGGTAAAAAAAAATAATTTAGTGTCTACCCGAAATATGAAGTTGAAAAATAACCATAACATAAAATATAGCTCACAGATGGGGAATGGTTAGAAATATTCCCTCTCGGCCCAGGAATTACTTTTGGCGCTCATTTTAAATACAGCAATATGTTCCAGATCACAGCCGGTTTTTGGATCGCTTCGGAGAAACGGTTCTACACCTATAAATTTTAATAATACAATAATACCAATCCACATGATTGGGAACTGCAATTTGGAATGTCTTGAAAAATTAAGTTCAATGTCTAATCTTTCTTCTAATTGTCTGCATATATTAATATAAGCTTATAATGTACAGGTATTTTATCATTGTTAAAGAAAGACCAGCTGTTGGTTAACATTGTTATGCTACTACATCAAACACCACAAACAGATCACATACAAATGACTCCAGACATAACTGACATCCAAAAAGATAAATGCTCAATAAAATAATTAAAAAAAAAATGGCACTTTCTTTTGGTAATAATCAGGTAGTTATGTCAATGTGGTATTTCCTTATAAATTGTATAAATTTTCTATGACCCTAAACCTATAAGAATGCACAGTTCTGTTATACAAAGGAATGCATTTGTTGTGGCCATAAAACACAACAACTCTCAAACACAGAAAATAGCAGTTTTCCATTCTGTGAATAAGGAAGTATAAAATGGGACAAAAATTGTTCTAGGTAATACACAACATTATATTTCATTTCAAAATTTATTACAATACAAAAGAACAAGATATATATGATTCTGACTAAGGACAACTATCATGCTTTATCTGTTAAGCTCAAAGCTCCAAAAGTTTCCAGTATTTTTGATCCATCCATTGCCTTAGTTCTGCATTTTGAGTACCTATTAGAAAAAAATATGTTATGGGTTGAGGCCATTCATCTTATTGTAGTATAATGATGCAGGTCTTGTTAAATTAGAATAAAAAAGTTATCATATGCACAATTTCTCAAATATTTCAAGTTCTAACCTCAGCAGTGAAAAACTAATCAGTCATTACTATGTGACTTACACTATTATGAAGGTCAAACAGATATTACCCAATTATGTCTATACCTACTAAAATGTGTATTTGTTAGGCATACATAATTAGAAATGAGGCGTGTACAGCCAGATTGGACAAAGCGGCACTGTGGTCAAAATCAGGATTTATTCACAAAAGGATAGCCTAAGCACTTCTATATCACGAGAGACTCCGTTACTCAAAATGGAAGTGGTAATACGGTTAATTTTGCTATATATTCATTACGGGCCATATTCACAGTCGTCACACCACTCGACCGATCAGATTCACCATCATGTGTGGTAATTCAGCGACTCCTACAGCCCCAAAAGCTGCCCTGGTAGATCAGGTTTCCCATAAGGATCGTTGGAACACTTCATTGGGAGAAGGTACCAGCCCTAAGGTAGTCCCGATGAATATAAAAATGTTTTCACCCTCCAAATTTTCATATACAGTGTATTGAGATAGAATATATTCAAAACTGATAGTAATGAGTTTGCTGGTGACAGAAAATCTTGTTTCCATATATATTCAAAGATTGTCAGTTATTTAAAAGTGTTAAATAATACAAGCCGACCATGAGCATTTAGCCGTGCACAGCTCCTGGAGTCAGATGCTTTGTCTTATATAATTTTTCCCTTCTCTTGAATGAAGCTAACTAGAGCACTGCGCTGTTTAAAAAACAGCGGTATGCTACATTCATGGCCATCCATATTTCCCATGCTGTTTTGCGACAGCTGACTCATGGCACACCAACCGCTGGCCATTCCAGTGTGGCCAACTCCTGGTGAAATATGACCTTCAAAACAAACCTCACAAACACCGGAGAATAATAATTTCTGTATCCCATAGATATTCTCTTTACACTTTTATGTTTGCTTGGTTTTATGATTTTTTTTTTTAGGGAAATATTATTCAGGTACTCAACACCTGGGTTGCAGCAACAGTGGGCCACCCAGCCAATTTGGAAATGTTCGTAGCCCTGCCTGTAGGATTGGGATCCCAACCATTGTAGTGTCCGAAGCACGTTCCCGATGGTTGGGGCTCATCTTTGGGCATGATGACTGTGAATACAGACCTAATTGTGGGACTGGTGGTGAGGATGGCGGGTGGCAGATCACAGATAAGAAAGCATCAGAGGTTTCCATCTTCTTTTTCTGGCACTTTGTCCACACTGGTCGTATGCTCCTCAAATATGATGTGATAATTTCAACATGCAAGTTAAATTACCTCGGGTCTTGGTACCATAAAGTCAAGAACTCAATATCACATATTAACTGCACCTTTCCATATAATCATCCAAATATAGTGAATCCTCGAAGATCCAGACTAAAGGGGGGTCCACCTGTCTGTAAAAGGCGATTGTCCGTATCTTCCAGCGAATGTACTAAATGTATAAAAACGGTAAATAATGATATATAAAAAACACAAAAAATACACTTTTGAGTGTATATTCCTCCTGTAGCCATAGTTTTCTTAAAATAATATATACAGTATCAGGAAATGTGATAAATAAATAAAAATATTACAGTACCAATAAATAAGTTACAAAAAAAAATATTGCATTGCCAAATCAGTAAATAAGAGCCAAATGAAAGCTTAACACAGTCGTCATTTGCATACACTCCCTGCTTCCTCATAGCAACAGACACCAGCTGGGATGCCGATTCCCTAGCAACATTCCCCACCCCCTAACACTCTGCACCTTCCTCCCCTCCCTCGCTGAGCCCAATAACTTGTGTGCAAAGAAATGTATATTCCCTTTACGTGTTTGCCCTTAGGACAATTATTTCTTTTACCCTTTTCACAATATGTATGTAGGGTGGTATGTGCATGTAACTGAGTAAAAATAAATGAAGCAAGATACGTATATCTATCCAAAAATGCATGTTAAAAAAAAAACTAACCTCACAGCTTGGCAGTTACAGTGACGAGTCTAACCTGACTACAATGCCATGATTAATCACTATTAAGCACTATTATATCAGTAAACACTAATAATAACAATAAATTCAGTGAAATATAGCAGGGAGTGAAGAGCAGGCAATGCACAACTAACGGTCACTCACTCCCCTTACTCGCACCTGTTGCTAAGCGTACGATCGAAATACGTATGAGAGAAATACTGTACATATCTTGTGGTCTAATTTGAAAACGGTGATGAGCACAGTGATAAACAAGTTATATAAACTGTGCATTTACCTACGATAACATAATTAGAAATATTGTACCAATACTAGTGAAAAAAATAATATTCCCACAAACAACAATTGACAACTCTGTTTATGTTTCTCATCTCGGGCACATATGTCCCGCGCGCTGACATCTTAGTTACATGGGTCAAAGATGATCTTTGCTCTGCTTTGGAAATGCTTCTTAGCCCTCGGAACCCCCAAATTTTGTCAGAATCTTCCGAAACCCGGATTTACCGGGTCCGAATCTTCGAGGGTTCACTGTACATGTACTGTAAAATCTCTCTCACAGTTACTCATACCTTCCATTATACATTCAATTTCCTTCTTCTACCACTTCCATGAATGTAAAGCCATGATCAAATGAGTACTTTTATGAGCAATTAATTTGAAGCAAGAAGTTATGAGCAATTTCTTCCAAACGTGGTCACATGGGGAGTTCTTGCTCCAGTTTCTACAGCAAGAAAAAAACAAGTGAACTCCATCATGCGAGGAAATGGGAGATGGAACATAACAACAACAATGCAGACGGCGTAGCATATATCAATGGCATTCCTGTTGTTATTAAAAAGAAACAAGAGAAATTGAAGAAAAACAATTGTGGACTCGTAAGTAATTGGCAAGGCGGAGGGTTGAAAGTATTTATTAGAGACTGGTTGAACTATCATAGCTACAGTAGGGAGGACTACATGAGTGTGGACTGTGAACAGCAGCCGCGCTTGTGTTCTGTAAACAAAAACGTCAAATCTGCACCCGAATTATAAACTGAATGTGACTTAAAAAAAACTGTTTGTGCATTTTAAACACAACGTTATCAACCTATGTTATAAATACAGGTACTGTATGTAAATACTTGATAAATATATTTTGTCATTAATATAGTATTAGCCGTGTTTTGACCCGGGAATCTAGCTCAAAATCATCAAGAAATTGATGATCACAATCGTCCAGAAAAATTCTTCCTAAAAACTCGGCAAGAAATTGCCCATAAAAGAGCTCCTGTGACCACAGCTTAAGTCAATCATATACTGTACTGTACTTTATAGGAACAGAAGAAACTCACCTATCAGCTATTTCCTTGAGAGCCCATGCAGCTAGCTGCTGAGTCTCTTTCTTCTTCTGTGCACTGCATTTTGATGATGATGAGACTTGGGTACAGCTCTGTTCATAAAAAAAGTAACCGTTAGGCAATACCATAACATCTTGACACCATTAGAATCCTATATTAATACATTACAATAAAATCAAGAATTTTTTTTTCATTGTTGAAAAAAGAAATACAGTAAATCCTGCAATTATTTTCTCTTAAAGTATGCTTTACAAATATGACAATGCACTTACTAGGAAGAGGCCATAAAGGGCTCGCACATTGCCTGGGTTCAGCTTGGCTGCCTGACAGAAATAGCTTCGAGCAATTTCCATATTATCGAGGTTTCCCTGAAACGAATAAAAGATTTATATAGAAAGTGAAACCCTCTATCTTAATTTTATGAAGAGCAAACAAGTGATATAATTTCTTAGACCACCAAAAAATTCAAAATTATTTGAGCATTGCTTTTAAATTCAATCGCTTAAGAGGAAAAGCAGATGAACAGTGATACAATTACTTATAATGAAGAAAATTAAAAAAAAATGCAACAGGATGGAATACACAAAAATACAGTAAAGGCAAATGAGGAAATACAACAATATTAGTTAAGAGTATACAGTACAGTACAGGGAAAACCGGATGGATAAAGTTCCATCCCTAATAATATAAACTGGTGGATAGTAAAGACACTCCCTGATATCCATGATATAACCAATCATGATTCTTAACAATGAAACAAGAAAAATTACATTCTGTATATTAATTTTTTTTCGTCTTTAATGTCAACATATTTGTGCTCTACGATATGAGCACTACAGGGGTATTTGCAGTAAACAGATGGTACTTGCTTACGAGACTCTCCCGCAGTGTCTCCTCTCCCTAGTTTGCGCTCGACCATTGCCTGCGACACAGCATCTCTGGTGTTGCGCTCAAAACTTTAGTGAAGTATGTGAAATGGCCCCTAAAAGACTGCCTAGTGATGCTAGTGGATTGAAACGTAAAAGGCAGAAGTCAGTGATTACCCTGACAAAGAAAGTTGAATTATTAGATAAGTCAAAAGAGGGGATGAGTGGTGCCGCAGCTGGTCGGTCATTTGGGATAGGTATACAGTAGTGCACTAAGATAATATAAGTTGCTATTTGCGGTTTTATGTATTTGCGCCATTCCTTCAAACCTAACTCCTGCGAATAACAAGGGTTTACTGTACAGGTATACATACTAACTCAAACAATAGAAACTGAATGTTCGGACTAAAACAGTACTATAAGAAGCCCCCTGTGGACTTGAGGGTAGACTCAACATTTTTAATACATATGTTTCTAATTATTTGTGAGAGGATTATTTGTTTGTATGTGTGTGTCTATATACACACACACACATATATACAATACAGGTAAAAAAAATAATTGTCCTATGGCTAAACACATAAAGGGAATGTACATTTATTTGTACACAAGTAAAAATGTAACCCCCCCCACCTGGTCAGCAAATGTTATTCGTGGATTTGGCGATTTGCGGCCATTTTGAGAACCTAACCCCTGCGAATTTGGAGGGCATGCTGTACTTTGACAAAAATTATCTACAAATGCGTACCAAAATACAGTAATCCAAATTTTTAAGTCTAAAAATAAGGTTCCTACTTATCTACTTTTCAATATGATTTAATATGTAACTGAATTACCATACAGAGGAAAGTCTACATACAACCATGTAAATCAAGAAAACTTTTAAGATATACTGGTTCCTACAAGTACTGTACTTATTCCACCTACTCTTAGATCCCTTCCCTTTCGTGGAAAGATGGAGAGATAAAAAAAAAGAGCTTATAATGGAAATATAAACAACTGAAATTCACAAATTGATAACAAAAATATCTTTCTAGTGATGGAAATGTTTTAGGAATTGGTGTACTTGCCAGGGAAAAGGAAGAGGTAGATAGGAATCATTAGTTATGGAGCAGACAGAGAGAGAACAAATGAAAAAAAAAAAAATGGCAATGAGTTTACAATTTCAATATGCATTCATATAACCCTGAACATATACTGTGCATGTAAAAAAATATGGCTCAGGAACTAGGATCACAGTGTGTACCTCTGTTTTCATACAAAGTTGTGAAAGTTACATGTGGTTGGGAAGTGGGCATAATTCACACTAAAAAAGAGACGAGTATTATGTACTTCTAAGCCATGTAATAAACACAGTAATAAGCATGGCTCACCATTCCCCTTTGTGTAAGTAATAGGATCATTAGGAAGTGTGGTATAGCATGATGTATCAATATTGGATATGCTAATTTTGTATGTAGCTCTAATTTGATTTTTAAGCTTCTTTAGTTGAAATACTTTTTTCTGAATCAGAACAACCTAATTTAATTATGGTGCTGGGCATTACATATAATTTATAACTTGGGGTAAGTGAATTTGATCCTCAGCTTCACTATGTTGCCAAGCTTGCTCACTCTAGCAAGTACTAGACTGGTATAGTTAAGTATCTCTCAAGAGAAAATTTGCTTTACGAAATAATCTATTTTATGAATGATACGAATTATTTTATCACATGAGTTTGAGGAATAAATTATAAGGTGACTGCAGGAGAATGATGACACACTGAAAGGATATTTGTAGACTTAATAACACTGCAAATGTTAGAAATCAAAAAGTTAGTACAGGTATACAGGTATTTACAGAAACTAATAAGACCAAAGTGACATAAGGAACATGGTTCATTACATTCTTTCCTTGGACACACGTTCAAGACAGCATTGGCTAAGGTATACATAATTATACATCTTATGGAAGCCACTTGGTCCCCAACTTTTCATTTGAACAATACTCTCAAAGGAAAAAATAACCTGTTATAATCTTTGTTCTAATTATCTGATGGGGGAACTTGAAATCTAAGCCTCCTTATGTGCTTCCTGTCTAGTATGACATTCAACCCTTACTGTTTTTCTAGATCAAAACAATATACATAAATATATTGTAAAAACCTTGCATTTTTTATGATCCCAGTTAAAATAAACTTTTTCAATATAACTCTGAACAGCTAATCAATATTATTGATTTTCTTATACTGACATGATATTAAAACTAATAATAATGGAAATTCTACTTCCATGTTATTAGCCGGGTGATTTAATTCAGCTTAGAGGGGACCCTGTAAACAAGGGGGTAATATCCCAGTCATTAGTTAATGAGAGGTATATTATACTGCACAACCACTAGCTATAATAACTTTAGAAGTCATACTTTTTCAAAATTTTGTACTAAGCCAATACAGGTGTACCCTGAAAACCGACATCCCAATAACAGCCAATTTGCATAAGCGATGATTACATATAGGGGAAATACCCCGCAAGTTTTGTTGAGTACCCCACTGATCCGATAATGGGGGAGGAGGATCTGCACAAGTGTTTTAAATTTGGTGGTTGGTGGCATGGTGTGAATTCTTGCCAAGAAGGGCTCTGCAATTGTGTTCTACACTACCTTATACCCCTTTGTCTCCGACTTCGTGTTTTTTCATTATTTCCAACTTCGTGTGTTAGGCAATTATGCCTAAATGCCTGTGATAATGCCTCTAGTGCTGCCCCTAAGAGGGTGCATAAGGCTGTGAGCCTAACCATCAAGCTTGATGTGATAAGGCATAATAAGAGTGGTGATGGACCAGCAAAGATTGGTAGAGATATAAACTTTCCACTCTCAACCATCTCTACCATCCTTAAAGACAAAGCTAAGTACATGGAGCTGCTGGTAAGTGTCTCCCTCCTTGAGAACTGTAACCAGAGTACTGTGTGTTTTGTGTCTGTGTGTGGCTACACATATTTACTTTTTTTGGGGTTGTTGCCCCAGAACTTTTCCAGTGAGGTGAAAACAGTGTCTGGCTTTAAGGCTACTAAGGACAGATATACAGTACTCTGGATTTTTTTGGGGGGTGGGAGGGTGGGGGGGGGAGCAATCAACGTGTTCCTCCAGCCTCGAGGAGGAATGCCAACTCAATGGTTCAACACAGGTTCCATACAGTATTTACTGTACAGTAATTATTGATTATTATGATCGATTCATATGTCTGATATATTTTCTTGCTTGCCAGTGTGCATGACAGATATATGTCAAGAGTAGATGGGAGTGTTTGGGGTGGTGGTCAGTCATCAACCCCCTGAATTTGTTATGCCTTTATGGGATTAATTGCTTTGATAACCGTCAGTTCGCAAACCAACAACTTTTCTAGGTCCCTATATTTATTGGGGTACACCTGTACTGTACTAAGAGCAAAAGATCAACAGATTTCAATATTTTATCTTACCTGTGTGTACTTGATTTCTGCATATCTGGTATAGAAGAGGTGATTGTGAGGATTTGTCAGTATTAATTCTTCCATACAGAAGGCAGCTTTAGCATAGTCACCTTCCTTTAAGTACAGATCACACAACTCCTGCCATGCCTCACCATCAGACATGAAACTGACAAAGAAAAATAATAAATAAATAAGTATTCACCCAGCTGGGGAACACATTTGTAATTCGTTGATGAAATATCCCAATCTCTTCTACATGATTTTGTTTCTATTCAGATCCTGAAAAGCCAAAGTAATTGAATGTAGATATACAGCACTCATTTTTTTTAACGGGTATTAGCCCACATCAGGGGGAGAAAAAAAGATCAAAAGTGAGAAACGATATACTGTATGTGTGTATATATATATACACACTTCACAACTTGAGGGCTGGACAGTCTCCATAAACTACCAAGCAAATGATTACAATGTTTAAACAAAAATTAATTTCTCTTAAAAATTTATCATTTTTATACAAGCATTTACATAAAAAAATAATAACTGCCATTACTGTACAAAGTGGCTACAAAATACTAGCATAATTAATAAAAAGTAATTAAAACACCTGTTTAAATCTATCATCTTTAAAGTGAAAGTTGTTCTTTTTATAATTAAAATCAGATACAGATGCAAGAATAAAAACCTTACATTTTAAGATATTCAGTGAGCTCTTTGATAGCATCAGCAATCCTTCCTTGACCCCGTAATACAGCAACTTTCCGCTTCCTTGCTGTTGAATTTGTTTCGTCCAGGCGAATAATGCTGTCATACACATCGATAGCCTCATCAAATCTGCACACAAAATATATTGAAATGTTAAAATAACCTGAGAATGTGCAATATTAGCCGATATGGTATCAATATTTTCTAACCTTGCCGTTTTAAATAAAAACATCCTGCCTGTATTAAAGCCATGAGAATAGTTATAAGTTTTGAGGACAGGGTGGTTAACATACCACAATTAACACAACTTTTACAATGAAGAAAATATAAGATTTTTTTTAAAGAATGTTAAGTACAGTTTCGTTCAGAAGTTCATCATACACTGGCAGTGGAGGGTGCATAACCTGTCGCACCCTTCCTGGAACCAGAAGATAAGAGGACCAGCCAGTCAACTCCTGAACCATGTCCACACCCAGTGGGAACTCTGCAGGCATAGGCATAAGTTTATTCGTGACTGTGTGACTTCAATCCAAATAGGTTGCATGCAGTTATTGAGAATGGGGAGACTGGATGAGGTATTAAATGATAATGTGGAAAATAGAATTCATTTGTCCATCTAAAATGTTAGTGTTTTATTATTGCTAAACAGATATTGGTAACCATTAATTCACAGATTGCAAATTATATATACTACTGTACACAATATGTAGAGGAAGAAAATATATGTTTATAATCTGTTCAGGCTATTGTGGGTAGTATCATTCATGACCTATTGAGTGTTGCATGGTGGACACCAACCCAAACTAACCTTTTTGTTTGTGCCTTTCCTGCTGTAAGGAATAATTAACGGGTGATAGGGATTATGATTCAATATATTTAAAAGGTTTGATTACTAATATGTATTCCCATTATTTGTATTCAATATATACAGCTGCTCCCCGACTTACGACGGGGTTAGGGACCGATATCCAGGTCGTAAGTCGAAATGGTCTTAAGTCGGAAATGCTTAAATAATACATAGAAAATCTAAAATGGGGGTCTCTTTTTCTTCTCAGCACCACAAAACACTCACTTTTAAGCTTGCCAGCCATTTTAAAGTGAATTACAGATGAAAATTTTGTCTGTGTACTGACTTTGGGACTCGAAAATACGTAATTTGACCAAATTTTGGTACGACTGAGGCAGGTCGTAAGTGCGGGTGGACGTAAGTCGAGTAGGTCATTTTTCTCATGCCTATAAGTTGTTATCAAGGTCTATAGAAAAGGAGGTCTTCCTGCGTGCAGGTAGGTGGAGCTTTGCTGACTCCTCGTTCCCTCACCCCTCATAAGCAGAACGTTTATGGTGCCACATACTGTACTTGATTTCAGTATCTCACATGGAAAAAATATTGCTTATAACTTTAGCTAAAGACACCAATGGATTGATACAGAATATATAAATATATATACAGTACAAGAGGACAGTTTAAAGGAAAGAAAAACAATGCATATCACTTTTAGACTACTGTATGGACTGTATTTAAATAACAAGTGCAGCTTCAAAAGGTTAATTATTACTGTACATGCAGTTGTCTATTGGGGTTCCTATGGAGAAATAGATAAATAGAAATCGAGAAAAGGAGAGAGAGAGAATTATAAGAAAGACTTCAATTAATGAACACATTGAAAACTTGATATACTATGAGCTCTGTTCAACTACTTCTTATAGTGCTCATTCAAAACCAATTTTCCCATTGTATTCTGATATTGGAATGGATACTCCTATAACTATGGTTTTCTTCTCGTAACCAGTATATATTAACACATCTTAATAATCCAGTAACGTTAGCTAGTATTCATATTAATATCCTTCCCATCATTGTGATGAGTCTTCATTCAAATCAAACTGCTCCATTGTCAGTTCCACTGTGTATTGGTGGGAGATTCAGCATAGTGACCTACCATCCAGGTAGGGAGCAACGAGCTATGTGCCCTCCACCGCGGGTATAATGAACTTCTGAACGGAACTGTACATGTGTGCTGCTTTATTTACATAACCCATACACTTTATAGACTATAAATTTTATAGATTATAAGCTTTATAGTCTATAAGCTTAATAGCTTATTATCAATACTGTACTTTCACAAGTTCTGAAAAGATATAAATGCATTTCAAGCATACTACAGTAATTCTTAATATTTTAATAAATAAAAAAATTATATAAGATCTCTTACCTCTCAAGAGCTTCCAACCTCATGGCTTTCAGTTTGCGCACTCTTAAAGATCCCGTAAATTGTTCGCTTAGAGACACTAAACTGGGCTCTGCTACATCTAGACGGTAACAATCCAAGCCAGCTATAACAACCTGTTCCTCCACCATCCAACCTGTTAACAGTATTTTACTGAGATGATAATGCATGCTTACAACACAATAAAGTACTGTATAGTAACTGTGTTTGGTAAAAATACTGATGGTATTTCAAACAATAATATATTATTTTACATGAACATTCCTAATCTAACATAAGATACCCCTGTAAAACTGGTTTTTAGTTTTTCTTTCATAATTATATCTTATGTTTCAATAATCTTTACTCCAAAAGGACCTTATAGTCATTATGAAAAAATAGTTAAATAATAGAAGGGATTGTATTTGAAAAACTCTGGCTTTTTTGCATAAAACTATCCGGGGTCGAACTATATACATTATGTAATGAGATCGGTTTATACATGAGTACCTGTATATAGATAAGACAATCATCCACATAAAATTATAAATAGTTACATACGTTCATCTCCTAGTTTGTGTTTATAATGTCTCAGGCAGTACTCCCACATGTCTACGACCTCTTCACTGTGTCGCGTGTTGTCCTCTCGCCATGTTCGTAACTGGTCTCGAACTTCTGCAACATTGATAAAACAAGATACAGGTAATGTTAATTCAAACATTCCTGTCAGAAATATAGATGCATAAGAACAGTACTATAAACCTTTCTTGTTTATTATTATTTTTCAGGTACTGTACAGTGCTGTATTGTACTACCGTACCTGTACAGTACAAACATAAGCAGTATTTGGCAGATTAAATCATCCAAGGATGCTCAAGGAGTTAATAGAAAAGTTCACTGCATTATAAACCTCATCTTGTAAGTTCCCAACACTGAAATACTGTATGTATAAGTAATCCTTTTCTTTTTAATTTATCTAAACAATACACTCTATGAACACATTCAATTAATGTATACAGACATATTAGCAGAAGAAATATAAATCGATAAAGTTTCACTAAATGGTAAAGTAATATTGTAATATTACTGAAGGTGCAATATATCTGAAAACCTTCCTTACCTTAATAAAGATGAATGCCTACACATTACTTTAATAATATACAATACAGTAATGTATTGATAATAATAATCTTATTACATATTATATTAGGATTAGTTAGGGGGCAGGATAGAATGATCTTAAGTGAGAATTTTGTTTGGTTTGATGGACACATACTGGTCATCACCAGCTCGCTCACTCACTCACTCCATCCTCAATATGAAGAATATTGGAAACTCTCAAGAGCAGTCATATATTAATGGTATACAATTTGAACCATCCTAACCTTACCTAAATTAATAAAAATACAGTAGTTTTAAGTTCATGTTGGGTTGAGTTTACAGTAGTACTTATTTGGTTAATTTTCCCCTTTCTAAATACAGTACTGTACATGTAAGTGCATGATTCCACACCCAACATTATACCCCTTGTTTAGAATACTGTACAGTGATGAGGGACACTTCATATTATTAGTTTCTTGTAAAAATGAAGAAAAGTTCACTGTACCTGTACAGTACTAGATATTTCCCAAAATAATTTTGCTTTGACATTTTCATTGTCCATTCACTGGAGCAGTAATTACTATGCTTTTTCTGTGTGTATGACTTATGATGAGAAAATACTGTACAGTACATTGTACAATACCCTGTACTAGGAATCACAAATTATTCTCTATCACAATTTTTGATAAATACATACTGTATCACACTAAACACTGTTAAAAATGACCATTGCATAAAGGGACAATATTGCTCCACAACCATGTTGACGACTGGGATGGTTTTATCATGGTAATATTTTAGGACAGTTGCACAGGTAAACCACTGAGCTATTTCAAAGTTTTTTTTTTCCAGACAACTTCTAACCTCAAGAAAATTGTGAATACAGTGAAATCTCTATTTAACAGAATACTTGGAGAGGAAAGTCCAGAATATCAAGGGTCCATTAGATGTGAAACCCCCATCTAACAGATTACAGTACAGTATGTATATGGAGAAAGAGGTCTGTTATATGGAGAATTTATTTAATGTAGAGAAATTACATTTAAATCATATTTTTGTTTAGTAAGGTGGAAGAGACAGCTAGACCCATTAATCGTTTATAAATTTTGTTCATATTTTCCAGTTATACTGTGGATGATATAAATTAATAAAATTGATATGAGAACTTTCTATTTTAATTAGTTTTTTCAGGTTTTCCCTTTTCTCTATCTACGATCATAAATCACCTGTAATGGGCAGGGTATGAACAATGAGGGAAATTACTTGCTAAAACCACGGCATGGTGGCATGGTGTAATTTTACATCTTTTTTTCTGAACGCAAGAGTATGCTCAGTTTGAGCTTAAACAAACAAAGAGCACACGACAACATGCGCCGGCACGACAGATTTTTCAGCATAGATGCATAATTTTAGTGTCATATGATCAGTTTTCACCGTGTTTTACCCCGCAATATCCATCATCTTTCTTAACCTGCCCACAATTGGTGATTTATGATTGCAGATAAAAAAAAACAAAAAATATATAAATACGGTAAAATTTTTGTTTGTCATCCCTATACAGTATTTAGATATCCAAAATATGATTTTCTGATAGCTTAGGCAATTCTAAGACACTTTTCGTCTATGACATTTCCCTTGCAAATGACCTGACCTGACATCACCTACTAACTGGGGAGCTCCCTCCACCCCCCGGCATATGTAAGTTGTTTGCATGGGAAACGACACAGAAGAAAAGTGTTTTAGAATTGTCTAAACTACAAATTCCAATTGTTAAATTCTTATGATTCTCCCAGATGACTGAAAATAAAAAAATACCCTAACCTAACCTAACCTAGCCACAGAACCCAGGAACTGTACCTAACATCAACCACATGGCCAAAACTAAAATACCATAAATACTTATATTTAAAATAAAACATTAAACAGTATCATTTCCAAGTAGGTATTATTGCAGTTTCGGCCAATACACAGCTGATTGTTTTAACCACGCCAAACCTTTAGCTCTCATCATTTAGAGTATTTCTAACCCCATTTCAACCAGGGGGCAAAGAATAATAACATCAAAATGAATTTTAAAGTTTTTCCATTCCTTGGAGGATGGGGGGGTGAATAACTCTAAAAAGGGTATTTTACCCCAGAAATAAAGGTCAAATTCGATTAAATCACACCAAGATACACAGGATAAACCAATTTCTAACCTACTAGGAATATCAGCCGAAACTGCTATTTTACCTCCAGGTATTATTAACATTTCGGTCATCCCTGAGTCCACGCAGTAGGTTTGGTTGAGAAGCAGTGCTGTGACTGATTTTTACCAGTTAGGTTAGGGTTAGGTTAGGTTAGGTTGGGTTAGGTTAGGTTAGGTTGGGTTAGGTTAGGTTAGGGTTAGGTTAGGTTAGGGTTAGGTTAGGTTAGGTTGGGTTAGGTTAGGCTGGGTTAGGCTAGATGACCGAAACAATAATTTTAACTATCTGTTACTTTCAATCATCCAAAGAACTGTGGAAAAAATAAACGAAATCGAACAACTACTCCTGGTGTTAGCCATCTGCCCAAGTATTACCCTTACTGTTCCTAAGCAGTATATTTTGTTTAGTCATGTCATCCTATACGCCCAATAATTCACAAAATACTGTTAATTTGGCATCATAATACTAATAACATGTAGTTAATGATATTGCTTCGTCATTGTTGATTCTTAAAATTTTACTATTTACCATAATAGAATAACTTCCTGGATTACAACCATCTGAAATACTGTTAAGTTAACATATTTCAGGAGTTATCAATATTAAGACAAATTGACACAAAATTTAGTCTGCTTGTCATAAACAGCTGACGATGCCGTGTGATGACGGCCTAAAACACACAAACATTTCTCGATTACCGTAAGTTTATACATTGTAATAATGAAACACATACTGTGCCTATATCTTTAAAATCACACTTCATCATACAGAATCCCTTAAATGAATGAGACTCAACGGTATCATACAAAATATACTCTACCTTCCCAGTCCAAGTCAATGGCCGCCATCTTTGCTGAGTTTGCCTTCTGCTTCAAGGTCTCTCATCTTTTAAATATATTACTCATAATAGGATAAAATACCTTCTAAAATTTAACTTAAATATTATATTAAACTAAATTTATAATCACAAACAATATATTGTATCGTGTTTATATAAAGTTCTGGTAATATAAAAGACAAAAGATTAAATATTAAAGATATACAACTGGAGCGTGTCTCCATGGCAACGCTTGTAAACAACCTATTAACAGTGTCTCCTCCTCGTGAGCTATGACAGATAATAATAAAGTTAATTCCCTTGTGAAGTATGACACACCTGTTCTTGTCACAACGAAAAAGAAAAATGAAAAAGATCAAGTAAGTTTCCTGACTGTTTTGTATCTGACACACAAAACACCCAAGTGGTTAATGAACCGATCAGCAGGGAAGAGAATAACAGTAAGACTGATCGTGAAATCAAACATTATATTATAGCAATATTTTATTATTTACAGGTACCTCACTTGACAATGAAAGATGGCATCCCTACTGACGCATCAGGTGGGTTGTGATTCCTTCGATGAACATTTTTTTGAGACTTCAGTAATAAGTTATCCAAAATCTCGGATATTCTTTTATTCAAAGGGTGAACCAACTTTCATTCTTATGTCGTTTGCAAGTGATAATTTTGGTAAGTGTGCCTTTTACGCTAGCATTAAACGTTTTTTTCGGGATTCTCTTTTAAACATTTATTTTAATACATCGATTGCAAATTCGGTGGGAGAGCAAGTAAAAATGACATTGAATTTACTAAGGAATCTGCAAGTTGTGGCTAAAGTTAGCTATATAGTACAGTATATTAGTAAGTAGTACTTACCGACTACCTATGTATCTTCTCTTACAGTTTATAGTTACATATGCATCCCTTTACACACTAGTTACATATGTATCCTGCCTTCTAGGATAGTTACGAGTCATCCATTACAGTCTACAGTTCTGTAATACACACTACAATGATGTATTACAAACTACAGTTATGTATTATTACTCATTGTGTAGGGGGCGCATATTTTTATGATTTTACACCTCTGGACACCATTTTATACAGGATGAGTTTACCTCTGTTATTTTTTCTTATATATTTTTCTTTGTGTTAATTCCTTCTGTTATCTATTTCTTAGTTATTCTTTTTGTATACTTGTTTTCATTATTTTCTGTTCTGTTACTGTTCTCTGACCCAGTTATATCCTGACCTAGTTATTTCCTGACCTAGGGCTTACCTGGGAACCCCTTGTTATGTTACACCCAGGTTTGTCTATCAGAACATACTGTAACATTAATCATTCAACTAAGGTGACAGCAACAGGGTGGTAGCAACGTGGCGAGGGCTGGGGCACGTGGGTATATTTATATTTAATGGTATCAAGGTATGGAGAAGAAACAGAGGTGAATACTGCAGATGAATGATACCCCCCAACATACAATAAAGATAGTTTATTTAAAATTAAGTTGAATACCGGACATTTTATCAGAGCATTACCTATGACGTCAGGACTTTTAATAGAAAACGATAGCTTATCGAGCTAGAGAAAAAGAAGTTTCCTCTTAGGGGTAACTGACGAGTTTCACACATGTTTTGTGGACGGTGGAGCATAATATGAATAATTAATCGTTGATTATATTAACCATACAATTGTGACCATGACAATTGCACAATAGTTATGTATTACAGACTATTGTTATGTATCATTCATTACAGTTTACAGTTTTGTAATACAGTTGTGTATCATCTAATATAGAGGTGAGCAGCACTAGCGCCCCAGGTCTGAGCGGCCCCCTGCCCACCGGAGGACCCTTGGGCACAACCCCGGCCACCAGACTCGTTCTCCCGCCCCTACATGAGCTACGTAAGAAGGAGACAGAGGAGATCCTCAACTTGATCCTCCCTCCCAGGGAGTGGGAGGAGGAAGGTGAGTCATGATAGTAACCATTATTGTACTTTTGTTGAAGAGTATACTGTACACACATTGATTATATTGTGAAAAGAGATGTAATATTATTATCTTAGACTATTTAAGTACTTATAGCGCCATTTATTGTAGAAGGAAAACAAGAAATGGGTATTTTCACACATCTTCAGAGATAACATGTATTGTAGGTTATCGTTAAGCAAGTTCTCAAAGATCCTCGCGTTACATTTTCCAATTGGCTCACTCTGAGCATCGGTAAACAACAGTACAGAGATACTGGTAAAATGACGGCATCGTAATAACACTAACTCAACCCTTTAGCAAGATACGTTTATTCATTCCCTGTTATGGTGTAGATAATATAACTTATTAGTCTTTGAGAGAATTATTTTTTATTGACCGAGGGGTACGGACAACTCTTGTCACTGTCTTTCGCAATGACCAAGAATTGAACAGTTCTCGAGAAACTTAACGTGACGAATTCTATTTCTCAAGCCATTGCAAGAGACAATGGGACGAGTTTTATCCGTACGATTAACCTCGGACTATTTTCATTTGTGATTTACATGTTTCAGGTCAGCTATGGGTGCAGTCTGTGTCGACGACCCCGGCAACCTCAGTGGACGTACAGCAGCTTCAGGAACAGCTGGACCTTCGCCTTCAGGAGCAAGCAGCCTTCGAAACCGGTATCTGTCCCGTCCGCCGCCAGCTGTACACCCAGTGCTTTGGTGAGTGCTCTCTCTCTCTCTCTCTCTCTCTCTCTCTCTCTCTCTCTCTCTCTCTCTCTCTCTCATATTAACCAACCCTCGGATCTTCTACCTTCGCCTGCTCAAAACACTAACCTTTAATCTTACAAACGTGTTTACTGTGTGGGAAGACAAAATTCCACCCAAACAATTTTGGTGGACAAAATTCTACTCAACAAAATCCCTGTACAGACAGTTTTACCGGAAAAAATCCCACCAAAAATTATTTCATTAGACATTACATGTACAGTGTATTGACTATAAATTGTAGATAGTGAATGTGGTGGTTTAATAATTGTATTGTACAGATTACATAGTGTAGATACTGTATACGTAGTGTAGATTTATCTTGTAATTATTGAAAAATCACTCATGTAATGTAGGTAGAGTTTAGGTGTTGTCACAACACACACACACGCACACGTGCACTAACTTCTGTGTACATCCACTTCTGATTCACATGGCGGCTGTAACCTATGACCCACCGAGCTCAAGAAAGCCACCTTGCCGCAAACTTATGAACTGTTCAGGGAATCCTCTCTTTACACATTTGTCCTACTTCAGCAATAATAATGGCCACTCAGGTACTCTCGCCAACCCATCATCTAAATCTAAGAATGCAAGCATGAACTCTGCTGATTTCCTTTCGGGGACTGTAATGCTTCTGTGCTTAGCCTTACACAGGATCTAAGATGGTGCCCAATAAACTAGCCCCCGTGCTGCGTGGGACGAATTGAATCTTACTACGTCTCACTGTCAGTCTTGGTTGATGGAATAATTTTATGTAATTTACATGGCGACTTTGAGGCTAACCTAACCTAACCTTCGAACCTTAAAACACCTCATTAATACTTTTCTATGCCAATACTGTATCAAGATCGAATATTTTCATTTGTTTAATGAATGAAAAATAAACTCGATTGTGTTTATTCGTGTTAATATATTCCTTCTAGGACGAGTCTTTCAAAAACGCTGTATTGACAATGGGTCATGTTGTGTACAGACGAGCTGATACGACAAGTGACTATCAACTGTGCTGAGCGTGGGCTGCTGCTCTACCGGGTAAGGGACGAGATCAGGGAGACACTTGACGCCTACCAGCGCCTGTACACCTCCTCCTGTGCCTACGGCGTCAGAAAGGCCCTCATGGTCTGTACCAATTCCTTCAGGTTCATATTCCTCGAAAGAGAGGCTCGTCTTCAAAATATTTGCAGTATATTCTGATTCGTGTTAACTCCTACAAAATATAGTCAATTAGGATTTTTGTTAACTCGTATTTACAATAAAATAAAATTCATGTTAACTCGTATACGCTATAAATTATGTTTCCTGTTAATTCATACTTACAATAAATTATTATTCATGTTAACTTCTACAGTATATACAGTAGATTATAATTAGTTTTAACATGACATCAAGAACATCATTTATCAAGTGTGCTCTTTTACTGAAACACGTTTTATCGGATATCATACATTTCTACTCAAACGTCATCGCTGATATAGTTGGTTTTTGGCCTCAGATATTCACAATGATAAACTCTTATTTCGTGTAGCGTCGTAAAAAAACTGTATCTATAGTTATGGTCAAGTCAAGCCTTAGTCCTATTTTGACCATCGTCTTTGTGCTGTGGCTTAAGGGAGCGGAGCGCCTTACACGACGTTTTGCTTTTTAGGTTTAGCAAAAAATAATCTTTGTTCGGACCAGAAAGACTGTAGAACCTTGATATTCAAAGGATTGTACGTTAAAATATCCCCATAGCTGGAGATGTAAGTAGGCCTACTCATCTAGCTGGCACCTTAATGTACAGTACAAAACTGATACCCAATATGGCTTCCAAATTACCCTGCGACTACTCTAACTGGTTGCATTTGTGTATTTCTTCTTAAGGAAAGAAAATTATCATTCAAAGTTTTGAGAATCTGAAACCGAATCCAATTGATGTAAAATGATGCCAACTAATGACATTTTAATTTCTCACAGGCGGAGGAGCACAAGGTGAAGGTGGGTGCCCGCTGTGACGAGCTGCGCACGCAGGTCGGGGATATGGAGGCACGGGCGGCAACACTCCGTCAGGAGATAGATCAACTGCAGACAGAAGCTCAGGAGGCCAGGAAGGCGGAAGCAGATAAGCATGAGGAAACCAAGACGGTGCATCAGTCGCGGATAGAGATACTTAAGGTAAAGATCTTTGGTTTGTTAAGGTGAATCATTTCGTGCTCAGTCCTCATGAGAAGTAATACTTAAGTGATGTGTGTGTGTGTGTGTGTGTGTGTTTAGGTGCTTGTGGGTTTCCTGAACCGACTATGAAGTTGTGACTATAAAATAATGAGACTGATTTTTAGCAAACATGCCTGAACTTGTACATACATCCAAATGAATGTTGTCACTTTCAAAATATTGACCATGGGAGGTAATACACTTATTCCAATGATCTTACCATTGCTCAAAACATTAAGGGAAATCTTTTGGAATTGCGTTCGCGCCTGCGTCGCATTCTCTTGAATACTGTATCCTCAATGGTGGCAAATCTTGCATGAATGATCAGTTTTACGTCCGCACAATGTAACGACGGTAACTAATATTGTCTATTTTTTGGTATTTACAGAAGAAACTAGAAGGCATCATTAAGCAGGCAACTCAACCCAAGAAGTAAACTGTCATAATTTTGTTATATTATTCCAGGTATTTATTTATCATTTCATTACTTATCAGCATACTAGCCGTTCGGGCGGTTGGTCTATTCTTTGTCACTTTGTTATGACCTTTATTGTCCAGTGTTAGTACATGAAACGTTATTACTGTACATGCAAGCGGAATTCCCGGAAAAATCTACCATGTTTAGTTGGGTCACACTAGCTAACGCCTTTCTCACACGTGTCTCTGACCGAGGATTGAACTCGAGACACACAAGTGGAGTTTTCATAACAGTTAAAACAGATAAGTTACAGATAGTAATAAATTTCACAGCCAAAGAGTTTATTCTGTTAATCATATTATGGTTCACCGTTCGTTCATGTTGACGACATGCTGGCTTCCATGTTTGTGCCGGACTTTCCAAATAGAAGTAGTAAGGTGCATGCTCATATTTCCAGATATCCCCAAAGATATTGTACGCTTTATTGTATGAACTTCCCGTTTTATGAATGCCCATGGAACTTTTTTTTTACTGTTATCCTCTTCGCCACTGATCGGCTCGTTAGCCGCTTGGACTGTTGGTCACGTCTCTGTTACGCACTGTTGGCAAGTATTGGGCATGTACAGTACTGGTTCCTTGCTAGGATGACAAGGCGGGATGTCACTCATCATAATCTGATCGTCTCCAGGTATTGGACTTCCGTGGCAGAGACAGTTCATGATGACTAGCTCATGGTTGCTTTGAATGGAGTTGGCACTGCTCTCTTCGATCCTCGCCTAAGCGGGTTAAAATTCATTGCCCCCCCCCCTCCACAAAAAATAAATAAATAAATAAATACACAAAATAAAAAATAAATAAAAATAGAGGAAAACACAGAGATTTTATGAAAACATTTACTCGAGAGGTGGGCAATGTCTAACATAAGGACAGAACCAGACAATGTGATGTAGTCGTGGCCAGAATTAGGTGAGGATACAGACACATCTGGCAAGTTAGTAACGCTGTACCCATACCGGAACACTCAGCATGTAAACTTTGTGATAAACCTTTAAAGCATACACTTGAACACTATATTATTGAATGTGACACTGTCAAAGACTTCAGGCCACCTGACTTATTGTATCTTGAACTATGTAATTACTTCATTGAATCAGGTGTGCTTGAGGACATTCTTGCTGTTTATCCCAAATTTGCTAGCCCACACTGATTAGTCTTCAATTAGAATATGACTCCAATGTATGTGATCCACTGACCCATATATGCTGCTGGTGAATGTGATGTATTTCCTTCTTTGTGTACGAACCTCTGTCCTGCGTGGCAGTGAACAGTGGCATTACCCACATGAATTTGACCTATATATAGTGTCAATGAATATGATGCATTCTTTGTGTACGAACCTCTGTCCTGTATGGCAGTGGAAAGTGACATTACCCACATGAATCTGACCGACGTATATGTATGTATGCGTGCGTGTGTGCATGTATATGTGCATGTACGTGTATATGTGTATGTATATACGTATATGTATGTATATGTGTGTGTGTGTGTTTACATATATGTATATGTAATGTCAATGAATATGATGCAACTCTTTGTGTACGAACCTCTGTCCTGCATGGCAGTGAACAGTGACATTACCCATATGAATCTGACCTATATACATTTATGTATTTCTTTGTGTGTGAACCTCTGTCCTGCGTGACAGTGAGAAGTGATACCACCCTCAGTGTCAAGACCTGACTGAATTACTCAGAATAGGCAAACTGTACTACATGCTCTGCCAATAAATTTGTTAAACAAAAAAAATAACTACACCCATCGTTACATGTTGTTATGATTTGACTTGATAACATTAACAACAGTGTTCAAGAAATATTTCTTTGTAGGCTTCCTTGCTTCCTAAGGGGTTGAGTGAGTCTTTGTTGATTGTGCGGTGTAAAGTACAGTGAAAGTGTTTCTTTGTCTTATATTCTGCACAGATTTGAGGTTTAATATTTTGCCATATGCAAAGAGTTACCGTATGGCTAAAGTTTACTTTTTAGTACTCTGTGCATAATTTTTTTGAACTTCAGTTTTTCCATTTGAAAAATTATACATGAACAATGTTCTTCAAGTTTATGTTATAAATACTTAAGGTTTTATAACAATTTCATTAAAATATACATTTGTAATGTTAATAGAATTTAATTTATATGTTTGAAAAATACACATTTTGCCATTAAAGAAGATTAAGCTTGCTGCTTACTTAATAATGGTAGTACATATAGTTAAATAATTTAATTATGCATCACTAAATACAGTAGCTTATCCCAGAAGTTGTAATGTGTACAGTATAACATTGTGGCAGTTTCCAAGTGTAAACCTAACCTAACCATAAAACACTACGGAATAATGTCACCCGGTTAATTAAGCTGAAAACTCTGGCCTACTTGTATGTCCGTAGGTGTTTCAGTACACCTGTAGTGGGGCTAGGAGGGTAGAGAATGGTTAGCATGTAGTAAGGGAATCACCTGGTCGTTCAGCTGCTCGTAGAGAATGATTGCTCTGCCCGTGCTGATCTCCGTCGGCCTCCGTCTGCCTTCGTCTCCACCGGTAAGCCAAAGTTTACGTCGCCACCTCCAACACGAGTAAACCCGGGTGATCAACACAATTCCGTTTCACGGAGAATGAACCACACGCTCAGTTATACAACATTGAGACTATAGCCTAACCTAACCATAACATATTCTTATCTTAATTATTGGCGACCTTTGCCCTTTATCATCTACTGCATAATGGTGATATCAGTAACTTGTAAAACTGCCACTAAGTGATCATAACCACTGCATATATCATAAATCATGTACTGTTTCAACAAACATTGAAATCGATATATTCACCCTAACAAGAAACTGACAAAAGACTATACAGTAGTCATGTATTCTATAAGCAATTCAAGCCACGCTCACTTCGTCGCAAAATAGCTCGTCCAAATATGTAAAGTTGTTGAGGATTTTATAAAACATGGTTTTATTCAGCAAAAAACCTGTCTCCTCTTGAATAATGCATTTTACTAACTTAAGAATTAAACAATAAACCCTAACCTTATTGCAGCCTATTCTGAATTATCGGGGAGTGTACACGCCTTTGTGAATGCTTGGAATAACTTGCATATTCTTACGGAACATAGCCCGTTCACTCCTGTCTCAAAATTGCATGTCCTTGCCTAGGGAAATTTATAGTATTTTATGTACAGTATTTTTGGGGATACCAATTTACCCTTGCTTTTCCACCCGTTTTTTCGTGATGCTAGTCACTCACAGGCGTATATACAATTAGTTTCAACACCCTTCTCCCTGGTCATTTAAAGTGCCTTCTTCGAGACCCCCCAGTAAAGATGCGAAGCCTTGTTTGGTAGACTGGTATACATAATAGTGTCCAGCTGATGGGATGCTTCAAGGTCTGGCTCACCATTCTTGTTTACAGATTCTCTTGGAAAATTTACACATCCCGAACATCAGTGTACTGTACACTCCATCATCATCTGCATATACAATTTGATATTCTACATCTTGTTTGCTGGGACTTAGACTTATAAAAGGAGTGATAAAAAATACATCACTTTTAGTCTAGTGATGATGTCAGTTTAAAATGTAGAAATTATGGAATACACACTAATGATTTAGAGGATTAATTTACATAATACTTTAATTTTATCCTCTTCTGAGTATGCGTAACTACCATCTTTAAGCCTCAGATCCGATACACTCACTTGTTTTTTAATTTATATTTTGTGTAACGGTAAAAAGACTTTGGGTTTGACTTGACCTCGTTTCCAATAGGCCTCTGCAATTCTTTCTCAGCCCTTCTGCACTTTGCTTGGTTCCTGGATCTGGCATATATCTTCCTGTCCTGCAATTTGTAATGATTGTTTATCAGACCAAAGCATACAACCCAGAGAAGAACAACAGAAATAGTAGTAACTGGATGCGCAGGTGTACACTCACGTAAGTTGACCCACCCTACAGTAATGAAAATGAGATTAAGGTGTTCATTCCATTCAGTTAACTAATAAATAACTGTACTTAGAAGTGTTGTTTAGAAAATTTCCCCTAAGAATATATTAACGGTTAAATAACTAATCGGCCACGCTACCAACTTTCTTCTCTTTACAATCCTCCTACTATAAATTCTACCTATATTTCTACACGAAGTTTCTCTCGTTACATAATCATTTGTCGTAACCCACCTCTTGAATTTCTGAGATTTTTTCTTAACTTTGTCGACCGCCACATGGTTCATGTGTAACAGTCTCCTTGTATTCCTGGAGACAGTGGGTTTGGTCTTGGGTATATATTTGTCAATCAAATAGTTCACTTTACTGGCTATGATATTCAGTGTAGTGTTTGCGTTTTTGTATCTCTGAGTCAGGCCAGTGAATACCCTTCATCTACTCCCTTATCTCGTTGTAATTACCCTTGTAAAATTTGAACCCAAATGACGACACGCTTTGTTACAGAGAGGCAACACAACATGACTGCAGATGGAATAACTGATTTTCTTATACAGAACAGGTAATGTGGATAGAATTCTTGAAATATATGGACAGTAACAACTGCACTTACATAATAGGTTTTCTTCTGATTTAAGTGCTTGATGTCTTACAAGATCTGTACTCCTCTTGTTCTTCCCTGATCGCCTCAGCCAAGAGTTTGATAGCCTGCGGAAATAAATTTGACACGAGTTCACACCTTTGAAATTTGATGGAAAATGATAGTACTGTAATAGAAGTACTGGTAACAACAATAAGAGTCGCAATGATTATAATGTTATTGACAGTAATGTGTAAATAATGAAAGTACAGTAATAGTAATTAATAATAATAATATAACTGATAATAATGATTCTTGATGATATTAATAGTAATTATAATGAAAATATTATTAATTAATAATAATAATGATTATTAATAATATTAATACTGTAGTAAGATTATTATTAAATAAATACAATAATAATAGGAATAATAATAATAAAAATAATAATACAGTAATATTAATAACAGTTATAATAACAATAACAAATCTACTGCTACTAATAGTAACTAACAATAATTATGTATAATAATAATAATAATAATAATAATAATAATAATAATAATAATAATAATAATAATAATAAAAATAATAATAATAATAACAATAATACAGTAATACTAATATTAATATTGTCATAACTTGATATCATTATTTGTTATCTTTCACCCCACACCTCATCTCCCACTATATCTGTTAACCCTTTCTGTTTCCCTCCTTCCTGGCTCTTTGTCACCCTCTCTTTTTTTTACTTTTACTTTTACCCTCTTCGCCAGTGGTTGGGTCGTTAACCACTTGGGCGGTTGGTTATTTCTCTATTACGCACTGATAGCAAGCACTGGACATGTACTGACTCCATGATGTATCTGCACTTGCGCCAGTGTTGGTCAATTCTGGTCTTATAAACGTTCACACTTGGTGCTGTCACAACAGAGTCTCTGGCAGAATAATCGAAGAGTGTATAACTCTCACTCCCAAAAAATTGTCTCACAATTTTGGACTTGTGGTTTCTTCAACCTTGAACCTCTAGTGGAGCAGGCTTCCGCCAGCTCCATGTATGGACACTCGACTGAGTAGTATCTTCCGAGAAGTTTATAAACTTCAATTAAGTCATCCCTTACCCGCCTATAGTATAAGCTAGGCAGTTGCAGGCGCTCTAATCTCTCCGGGTAACTGAGGTGCCGTAGTACAGGCACCAGTCTGGTGGCCCTCCTTTGAACATTTTTATTCAACTGACTGTCTCAAGCATATCTCGAGGACCAGACGGGGTAACAGCACTCTAGACGGGGAAGCACCTCACTCTTTAAGAGAACCAGGCAAAACACAAACATCTTGACTAGGTTGGGTTTCTTTAATTACTAACGTTTCGGAAAATAATTTTCTATCAACAGGGCCTAGAAAACAGACACAAAGTTTTAAAAATTACAGGTAATATACAATAAAAACGAAACGCTTCTAGAATTTACCTTCCGCATTTTTTTTAAAGAGCATTATAATTTAAAACCAATAAAATGATGGGAGACCTACGTACAAAACTAAAATCAGAAAAACCTAAAACATACAGGGGGTATTCCTTGAGTCAAGCCTTAGTGGGAAAAACACAACACTTCACAGGAAGCCATATCACAAATGGATGGCTTTACTTTATACTGATGCAAGGCTTCCATAATGAGGAGGTCCGTCTCACAGTTGCTCCTGCCAAGAACTGAGAAATCAGACTGCGAAAACGGGTGGTCAACTGGTCATGTTGGTGGGCGTGGTTACCGATAGCTGAATGTGGTGGTTGTGTGATTAACTGGCCTTTTCGGACGTAACTGCCCAAGTGTTCATGGATGCGAGTTATCAAGTCTTTTTGTTTTACCTATATATGCTGCCCTACAGCTCGCACACGTAAATTGATAAACAACTGAGGATTGCAGGTGTGTGGGTATGGTGTCTTTAGTTTTAAATTAATTTTTAATTGAACTCTGGGTTTTAAAGACTAGTGTAAGAGAAATTTGTGGATAGAATTCATTGAGAAGCATCTTAAGTTTGGTTCTAATGGTGAAACTGAGTGGGCCTGTGTACAGGATGGTGAAACATATAGAATGTTTAGGAGCGGTGTGGATTTGAGGCTGTGTGTGACCAAAAATCCTATTAAGGGTTTTGCCTATATGAGTATCTATAAATCTCTTAGGGACACCATTGTTAAATAGTAGTTCCTTATATATTTCAGTTTAATGTCCAGGTGGAAATAGCTCGAACATATATTAAAGGCTCTGTCGGTAAGAGTACGCCCTAGATTTCGTTTGTAATTAAGAGGAATGAATGATGAAAATTTTGTACTCAAACCTTTGAATGTTGGTTTTCTGTATAAGGTCTGTCTTGAAACTATTATGAAGACGGTGGCTATTAATATCAAGGAATGGTAGAATATCGTCCTTTTCTAATTCACAAGTAAATATGATGTTGCCATGCTTCGAATTTAGATAATTTAGGAACATAGTGACGTGATCAAATGATCTGAAAATATATATGGTTTGGTTATGGTAATATTTTTGTTAGAAACACCATTGACGAGAAGGTTGCCCCACAGACATAGGTGGTTCCAAATTGTACCAAAACTTTGATGGCTCGATTTTTAACTGCTGAGTGTCTTTTTGATAAAGTAATCCAAACTTTCTGTCATCGTAGATGTTAAAATTCACCCTTGCCTCATTGTCAGCCTGTAATTCTACCATTTCCAGCACAAAAGAGCTACGTTGTTTACATCCGTCTTGAACAGAAACAAAAGACTCGGTAAGCAACTCAGTGAATCTATCCTTGAGAACTGCTACCATTTTATGTCTGCATCCGTGGGAAGTAGAGTGAAATGAGCTGAGAACAGTTCAAAGGTAGGAGTGTGGAACTTCTGTTGCAAAAACTGTCATCAAGACAAACCTTACCTGGACTGGTCTGACCTGATAAAAGGAGAGTAACTGCATTAATCCCTTGACCATAATTTATGGTCCCGACTTAACGAGACAGCACCCAATGACACCTAGAATAAAAAAAAAAAAATCTAGTGACCGCTGCAGGACCCAGATGACTCCAACGACCCCATGAGGTATAAGGGAGCCCAGCGACCCCATGAGCTCTATGCGACCCCCTATGATGTATCTTTTGGGGTCGCAACCCCGTGTTTGTGAATAATCACTCCAGATATCTGAACGACCTTCTTATAAGACCTACAGTACTAGCTTTGTTGCTTGATTTAAATTTCTCTTCATTGTCTTTACATCTAAATCTCCTTCTCCCTCTCTCTTACTTTATCCATGTTATCAGGGTTGATCACAGAATAGGCGAGTCTGATGTATGGAGACGGCTGGTTCCCATCCGCCAGGAAGCCCGCCCCAGGCACCACCAGCACCCCTTTCTCTAGTCCTCGTTTCATCGCCAATGTCTTCGTATCTTTCACCCCCAGAACCTGTAGAAGTGTTGCGACTCACTTGGATGTGTCATTAATCAACCAACTACTCACCTGCTTCTGCTACACCTGAACGCATTAATTGCGTATAAAAATGTTGCCTAACAGACGTGACCGATCGCCCAAGTGGCTAACGAGCTGATTAGTGGCGAAGAGGATAAAAGTAAAAGTAAAAAGTGTGTGTGCCTGTATACAAAATATTGGACTTATATTATAAAAGAATGACTCAGTGCAACTAGACCTGTTAAACCTTAACCTTGGCTGAAGTCCTCACGAAACTATTATTTAATCATGCTTCTACTCACACTACCTGATAATAACTATAAATATGCATATTTTCAGTTTTATCTTTATTTTATTTTATTTTTTCACTTTTATCCTCTTCACCACTGATCGGCTTGTTAGCCGCTTGGGCTGTCGGTCACGTCTCTGTTACGCACTGTTAGCAAGGACTGGACATGAACTGGCTCCTGAATGTACCTGAACCTGCTCCAATGTTCGTCAAGTCTGGCCTTGAATGGGCTCACACTCAGTGCCGTCACAAATCTCTCTGGCAGATTGTCCCAAGAGTTCACAATTCTCACTCCGAAAAACTTTGCCCTCACAGTTTTCTGGACTTGCGGCTTATTCAACCTTGAGCTGTGACCCATTGTGGGGCGTGCCTCCGCCAGCTCCAGGTATGCACGCTCGACTGAGATGTTTATGCACCTTAATTAGGTCACCCCTTGCCCGTCTGTAGTATAAGCTAGGCATTTGCAGGCTCTAATCTCTCTGGATAACTGAGATGCCGAAGTGCAGGCACCAGTCTGGTGGCCCTCCTTTGGACATTTTTAATCAACTGGCAGTCTCTAGCATATCTCGGGGACCAGACGGTACTCCAGACGAGGAAGCACCTTCTTATAAGACCTAATAGTTTAATTGCTTGATTCACCTTCTTCTCACAATCTTATTGATACCGAATTTTCGTATGACTGTTTTTCATCAGATTAACATAAATAAATCTTTTATGTTAATTAATAAAAAAATTAACTAGAGTATTGATTGGCCTAATTTAAGTTTTTTTATTCCAACGATCATAACTCTCATGTTTATACTGATTAACAAGCTGCAGTGAGTTAATTTAATATACTTAAAAAATGAATGATGACGAACTCGTAGGTGCCTACTGTACCTTGAGCCAGATGTAGAATCCTCCGTCTGGCACCGTCCACTCACACAGGTCTGCAGATGAGGGTGGTGGTTAGGTTAGCTTACGTCAGGGTTGGTTAACTTAAATAAAATGAGTTTCTAAAATAATCACGGATTTAAATCAGTATATGAGAAAAAATTCTACTACAGTATAGGTAACACAAAGAATGATAAACTTTTCTGTTAAATTTTCATTAAACAAGTTTATAAAATTGACTTATATCTATTGATTAGATGTTCGATAAATGCACCATACAGTATATGATTCTTTATTGGAAAATTTGTAGTATTTTTTTCTGATTGACATCAAGCTTAAAGAGCAATCACATCAGCTGCATTCTGTGTGGCTATTCTTCTACAAAGGGTGTGAAAAGAATGAGTTAATGAAGCAGGTGGTAGAGATCCAGTTTGCCTAACCGTGATAAAGTCCATATACCGTAGATCCTGTAGCTATTAACTGGGACATAGAGTGATCTTAGTTGACCTCCTTCATAAGGCCCTCTGAAACTTTAGTTGTATATTGTGGTGTGTGTGTGTCTGTGTGTTCCGTTGTGTGTGTTGTTGGTGTGTGTTGTGAAGTGTGTGTATTGTGTAGTGTTGCATGTTGTATAGTGTGTTGTTGGTGTGAGTGACAGAAGTGTGGTTGTGAGTGTTGCGATTAATGTGAGTGTGGTTGTGAGTACTGTCCACATTTCACCACTTAGTTGTGAGTGTCATAGGTTGTCATAAGTGCATGATGAGTAAGTTACAGTACAGCAAAGGTGAGTCATGAGTGAGCTGAGTGAAACCTACTATTAAGGTGTCTGTCAACCGCTTCCACCATAATGTCTCGTTGTCTCCGGTACAACTCGCACACCGCCCTCATGTGTTGCAGGTACCCTTCGTGACCCCACGTCTTCAGCACCTCACGCAATATCACCTGAGGGAAAGGAAATGAAGAGGTCAACAAGGTCTCTCTCTCTCCCTTTAAGTAGATATATTTTACAATATCAATTAAATCAGAAGCGCCTGACAAGGATAAGGGAAGACGATCACTTCTCTTTAAGAAAGGAGCACTGCACACACATACCTGAGGGAGGACAGATGCATGCAGGATATTGTCCAAAATGTCAAGGACGAGCTTTTCACCGATTGGTTTGGGTACGGTAACATAGCCAACCCGCAGGCCGGGAGCCACAGTCTTAGAGAAGGAGTCGAAGCGCAGCACCCGACCCTCCGTGTCCAAGCTGAGAAAACTGGGCGGCACCTCCTGCAGGAGTTGTGGTTCATGATGTCTATATTTTAATCTGCGGTTTGTCATCCTAAGACCCGCCTCTCTTGACCTGACTGATACTGAATTTTCCTGTGTGAGTTTAATACAGCTGTAAACCAAGTCTTTGGTCAGGTTAGGCTAGGTTCTTGACAATCCTCTAGATTTCATCTTACCATTTTGTCTTCGGTCTACCAACAGGTGGTTTACCTCTTGGTTCAAATTGGTTGCCAATCATGCCTGTACTCGCCTAACTGACCTATATAACCAAACCTAACAAGACTGGAAGTATTTTTGTTTATCTGCTTGTGTGTATCTGTTAGGCTCAAACAACGAATTCACTCACCGAGCGAGAAAAATGACAGCAATGCATTGTGGAAACAACAATACAACCAGAGAGCGAAATTTTTCATGTTGGACTTTTCCAACAGCAAGAACGTGGTTAAAGTTAAGATTAAGGTTAAAGTTACGATTAAAGCTAAGGTTTAGGTTTAGGTTAAAATTATGGTCTTAAGATCTAGGTAAAGGTTTCGTCTGGTAAGATTTGGTAAGGTTTGGGTTAAGATTCAGTAGAGTACAACCATGGAACTCTATATTGATTGTAATATAGAAAGATAGAACAATCAAAAAAGAAAATACTTTACAGAGTTTTCGTGCAAATTTATAATTTTCCAGTTATTTTTATTTTTCAATTTCACTTAAAGTACAATTTGGAGGGTTAAGTTCGCACTAACAAGTTGCGGGCAGGGATATATAGTTGACTTCTTACTTCGCCACAATGCTGCTTCACATTCTCTCTTTTACAGATAATTTAACGGGCAATGTTCAGTGGATTTGGCATCCTGTGTCGGAGACACCCACACACAAGGCACCAACGCGTAGAGACACTCACACGTAGAGGTACCCACACGGTCACCCACATACTAAGCACCCACACATGGAGGCACCCCGAATGTAAAGGCACCCACACATGGAAACACAAACCTCCGTCACTCAGTAAATTATATAATTCTTAGGTGAAACTTTATTCAATAGTTGGAGTATTTTACGAAGTGTGACTCCCCGTGAATTGATCTATGGATTCTCTCATGATGTAGGTAAGCTCGGTCTCTAGGATGATTAAATCGTTCTTGATAAACTGAATTCTCTTATTTATATGAAGTAGAAAGGATTGTTTCTGACAAAATAGCCATCATAAACTGAATGAAAATTCTAGTAATGGTCGTTCTCGTGGATAATCTGGTCGTTCAAGATATTAACTAACCTCCATAAACTGTATATAGTGGTAGGGGTCATCCTCAAGGATCAGAAGGTCGTACTCGCTGGCAATGCTGTATATCTCCCTTCGCCTGGCCTCCCTCATCAACACCCCTGTTGGATTACTGCCACTCGGGTTCACGTAGATAAACTGCAACACAATGCATTAACCATGTCACCCACAGGTAGTGGTCACACACACACACACGCACACACCACCACCACAACACCCCGGAGGTCTTTCATGTCAACATCGACGGTCAAGTTACTGCACCACGTGACCTACGTGACCTCACACAGTAGGGCAAGAGACCAGCCCCGGCCATCAACAGTAAACTATAATGTGTATGTTCAATTCATGTTCCTTCGCCTTTTAGTAATGAAAGCTTTTGTTAAACGACCCGACTACCCCATGTCCTTATATGAAATAAGTCATTTTCGTCTAATGTACAGGGTGTCTATAAATTATTACCCTAATTAAAGCATGCTAGCATACTGTTTTTAGGGTAATCATTTATTATCACCCTCTATATTTTCTTTTTTACTTTTACTTTTATCCTCTTCACCACTGATCGGCTCGTTAGCCGCTTGGGCGATCGGTCACGTCTCTGTTACGCACTGTTGGCAAGTACTGAGCGTGTACCGTCTCCTGAATGTACCTGAACCTGCTCCAGTGTTGGTCAAGTCTGGTCTTGAAAGAGCTCACACTCGGTGCCGTCGCAACACTTTCTGGTAGATTGTTCCAAGAGTTCACAACTCTCACTCCGAAAAAGTTTGCCTTCAATTTGCTGAACTTTTTCAATAAACCGTTAATTATTATTATTATTATTATTATTATTATTATTATTATTATTATTATTATTATTATTATTATTATTATTATTATTATTATTATTATTATTATCATTATTATTATTATTACACACACACACACACACAGCCTCACCTTGGCCCGTCGGTCAGTACACTGGTCCAAGGCAACTCGGAGGAGGGAGGGAATCACGCCCTGGCTGTCAGACCTTATAGGGATGAGATGAGCTTGTACATTGTCTAGCTGTTGGCAGGGCAAGTTTGTGTCAGAATGGGTCATCTAAGGGTTCGAAATTGGCACTATACTGTGTGTGTCTGTGTGTGTGTGTGTGTGTGTGCTATCGGCAGTCCATTGCAAATCTCCCTCTCCCCACTCGTTGCAACACTTGCACCACTGGTTTAGGGAAAGGGAGAGCTAAGATGTGTGGTTGCAGCCTGCGCTCCTGCCTCACCACATAAATCAACTCACGCGCAGACATCATCCAGCTCATCATACTCCTCATCATCAAAACCCCTTTATCCCAAAAAGTCGTATGACGACGGACGAGTGGCGACGGGGACAGGCAGAGATGACTGCCAGGAGTCTTTAGTCACAACTCTGCACATGGGCGGCACAGATAAAATGGTCGTATTTGCACTGGGATATAGGCAGCAGTGCAATCCGGCCCTGACTGTGCGACTGAGCATCCCATTCGAGGAGCCACTCTGCTCAGCCTACATGGGGAGAGGGCTAGAAAAGGTGCCCTAAACATAGCCTGCCTAAAGAACCAACCTGACTGGGCAACCGTGTCATGGTCATAATGACATGGCTGGTCTGTTAAAACCTAATAATTCATATTACGCTCCACGCCCACAAAACCTGTAAACCTTTTGAGTCTCCCAGTTGAAACATTCGTTCTCTAACCGCTCCAGGAGATCTGAGTCCTCCGTTTTCTATGTCATATTACTGGAGAAACTCAGGCATTCCTAAATTCCGCACAGGGTGTTCATGCATTTGAATTGGTAAGAGAACACCCTTGCTTTGCGTCAACTTGGAGATGTCTGATTGCAGAAGCTCAATGTGGCTTTAGACAAACCACATGGCACCACTAACATGATCTTTGCTGCCCGCCAGATACAGAAAAAGTGCAGAGAACAGCGTCGTGACCTGTACATGGCCTTTATTGACCTAACCAAGGCCTTCAACTCTGTCAACAGGAAAGCCCTCTGGCGGACCCTCAGCCGTTTTGGCTGCCCACCAAAATTCATCACCATTGTGAGGCAACTCCACGATGGCATGAACGGCAGTGTCCTGCACAATGGCACCCAGTCTGAGTTCTTCCCCATCCAAACGAGGGTAAAACAAAGATGTGTGATGGCACCAACTCTCTTTTCCATTTTCTTGGCTGCCTTCCTTACTCGTGCCAGTGCCAATTTAGCCGGCGGGGTGGACATCGAGTACCAGATGAAGGGTCTTTTCAGCATAAGACGACTCCAGGCAGGTACAAAAGTGTCGGCAGCTTCCATTACTGCACATCAGTATGCAGACGACCTCACCCTTGTCATTCACACTGAATGCGACCTACAGGAGATCCTGAACACCTACGCAGATGCGTATGCACACTTCGGCCTTGGGGTGAATGTACATAAGACTCAGATTCTCTTTCAGCCTGCCCCTGGTTCAGTCACACCTCCACCATCCATCCAGCTTAACGTTACTGGTTCTAGGTAATTTCACTCCCGGTAATTTCACTCCGGTTATTTGACCCCCGGTAATTTTACTTCCGGTAATTTAACTCCCAATCAATTTCACTCCCGGTAATTTCACCAACATTAAAAAAAATTATTTAAATCATTTATTAAAAACATTTATAAAAAAAATATTTAAAACACTTCTTAAAAAAATCAAGAATTAAAATGTTTTAGTGTTCTATAAGTGCTGAACGGCTGGTTGCAGTAGCTGCCAGAGGTTGGATAATCCACTCCTGTTTCAATAAATAATTATAATAGTAATGGTAAGAAATTTAACATAAATATAGTTTGATTTAATTAGTTAAAAATTAAGGATTTAATTTAAGTAGTTTTGAAATCTAGTTTAAGCAAGCACTTAAATTTTAGAATTTAAAAAATCCAGAAGATGGCACCTAACCTAACCTAACGTTTTTATAGATGTTTTTATATAAATGTTTTTAATTCAGAGAACAACTTTGACTTTTTACGAGCAATAGCTCGTAACCTGCGTCATTAATAATTGTCTTAATAGATAAACACAATATTTTAAATGTTGGTGAAATTACCGGGAGTGAAAGTGACTGGGAGTTAAATTACCAGGAGTCAAATTACCGGGAGTCAAATTACCGGAGTCAAATTACCGGCCACCAACGTTACTACCCTCTCTAATGCTACCCACTTTCAGTATCTCGGCTCCCGCCTGTCCATCGCCGTGCATATCGATGAAGGGATTCAACATTAGATCAGATGTGCATCTCAAGCCTTTGGCAGACTCCGTAACTGTGTCTTCAGGTGTAGGGAGATTAAATTATTTACAAAGTTGCACATATATTGTGCAGTTGTCCTCCCCACCCTGCTATATGACAGCGAGACATGGGTCACATATAGGAGGTATTTCAAGGCACTCGAAAACTTTCACCAACATAGTCTACGTTACATACATCCTCTGAGTTCGCTGGGAAGACAAGAGAACACATGCCAGTATTCTCGCTGACACCAACTGTAGTAGCATCGAGGCTACCATTACCCATGAACAACTACATTGACTGGCCATATTACCAGCATGGACGACAGTAGACTGCCAAAGCAGTTACTTTACAGTCACCTAACGAATAGTAAACGTAATGCTGGCGGGCAACTGAAAAGGTTTAAGGATAGTCTTAAGACAAACCTGAAAAAGTGTCAAATCGACCATACGAGAAGGTGTCAGTACTTTTTAGTTAGCCCGACTGCAAACCGAGGCAGACAATCGCCAACGCCGGAAAGACGCTGCCGCCGCCCCTCCCGCAATAGATGTAGCCCTCCACATGTGCAACATCTGTGAACGACCCTGCCAGTCCCGAATCGGCCTCTCTAGTCACCTCAGAACTCACCAACGAAGGTGACATCCTTAATAACTCATATCATTTAATTTTAACTGGATGATCGTCATACTCGATTCCGAGTGACAGCAAAGTAGTGTGTGTGTGTACAGTAGACTGTTCTAGTGTATTAATGAACCAAAATATATTACTGCCATGCCAATTTTGGAACAATGAACATAATCATGCACAAGAAATTCACCTGAATTAATGGATCAATTAAATTTTTAGACAAGTTTGTGATACAACTGGGAGCCATTTTGCCATAGTTCATTGTAATGACAAGGAGGGGAGAGAGAGAGAGAGAGAGAGAGAGAGAGAGAGAGAGAGAGAGAGAGAGAGAGAGACCATCAAAGGAAGGTAGGATGACAGGCAGAGACAAATATACAGAAAGAGAGAGAGATTCACCAGGGCCAGCAGACCAGGATATGTAGGTTCCTGAAACAAGACGGCGTCGCCAGGGTTGATGAGCATGCCACATGCCATGGAGAGGCCGTGTTCCGACCCCACCGTCACCACCACCTGCCTCTCACACACATCAGGCGGCGCGTGGATCTTCTCCGTCAACTCCTCTAGTTGAGCCACGAAGGGAGGGAACCTAAGATTAAACATAGGTCCAGATTACAGGGGGACCATGAAATATATTGGTCAAAATTTTATATATACGACAAACGGTGTTACTGGCGGATTAACTGTAGACTATGATAAAATGACAATTCCACAAAGTGTATATCAGTTGAGGTAACCAATGCCTCACTCTCTCAAACTTACCCACTACTCAGTGAGTACTGCAGCGCCTGAGCCATAAGCTGAGGGGTAATGTTGATCCTATGCGATTCTTTGAGGGTGAAGGTGGCCTCTAGGACGGGGAAGGTGGAGGGGTTGGGCATCCCGGACGCCAGCAACAGCGTATCCGGGGATATGGTTTCCATACATTTCCCTGAAACAGTCTCCAGTTACTGTTCTGGCTGTGCGTGGTGAAATTGGTGTCTGTTCTCCCTGATCTGTTAACTTGAGCTTCGTCGTGATGAGATTTTCTTGTATGAAAATTAACCCAGCATATCCTAATAGTCAGTATATGTGTGTGTATGTGTGTGTGTACATGTGTGTGTTTATCTAAAATAGTAAAGAACAAAGTTGGTGTCAAATATTATTTCAAATATGATATAACAAAAGTAAATACTGCCTATATTGTAACACACACACACACACACTCGCGCGCGCGTGCATTCAAGTGCACATACACACACGCACGCAAACACCTCGCCTCACTTACTAATACACCCAAGGACAGTGGGGTGACGCCGGAGTGAACTTTCAGAGATGAATTTTGAGTAGTCCATTGTAGCTCACCTCACGTCAACAGTGTGCGTCGTTGTCATACAAAGAGAAGCAAACCCAGGAAGATTTTCTCGTGGGTTTTGTTCTTAATACCTGCCGAATAAATTTAATTTACACATCACCTGTGTCAAGGATAAAAACAAAATAAAACATACAATAATGACAATGACATCACAATATCGGGATACACACAGCTGGTCAAGTACAAAGTCTACATATGGAGAATAGGATAGTGGCTGCCCTAACACATACAGCATAAAATGTGCAGTTGAACAGTGGCGCCATCTATTGAATTTCCAACACAGTTTGACCACTTTTACTTTTATCCTCTTCGTCACTGATCGGCTTGTTAGCCGCTTGGGCGATCGGTCACGTCTCTGATTACATTTCCTTTTCATTTATCTTCACCAAAAGATCGGCTCGCTAGCCGCCCGGGCGATCGGTCACGTCTCTGTCACGCACTGTTGGTAAGTACTGGGCATGCACCGGCTCCTGAATGTACCTGAACCCGCTCCAGTGTTGCTCCAGTGTTGGTCAAGTCTTGTCTTGAAAGAGCTCACACTCGGTGCCGTCGACCCAGAGGAACGTGAGTTCAGTATTGCTGTATATGACTCATTTACGAACCTTTAAAAGCTATTAATCAGCTGTTACTGTGAACTTCACCTGTACCATTTGCTTCATGATTTTAAAAAGTATGAAATATTCAGTAGCCTACTTCAGAGCTCCAACAAATGGAATTCTCATCTATTTTAAAACTATTTTGATAACATGAGAATGTATTAATAAAAAATTCAAATTTTACATCAAAATGTAGGTCTGTGATGCACACAACATGCGAAACAAACAAATTATGACACAAACAAGCCGGATACAAAAGGCAATCAATTAGTACTCGGTCTGAAGAGTAATCAGCACCGAAATACTCGGTTCTTTCAAAGTATTCGGTTTACACATCCCTAGTCACTCTGTTGTTGTGTCTTTCTATGTCTGCGCATCCAAGGATACAGTTTAAAGGGGAGGTATTGTGGGGTATGGGTTTGTGTTCGGACTCAAAAATCACGCTGTGCTCTCATGTATACATGTTGTATTGGATGTACAATGCAGCTTGGTGCTGGGAAGGCAGCATGGTTACAAGCGTGATGTAGAGAGAGCTGGTTGGTGAGGGTGCTCAGAGGAGGACAGCTTGTGGGTCGCCACGCTCGCCGGCGGGAGCGAGGAGGAGGAGGGGATGTTGCTGGCTGGTTGGTGTAGGTAGAAAGAGACAGGTCACCACGAGGTCAGGTCTTTTATAGCGGAGGTAGGCGTGGGTAGATAGTTGACCCCCACTCCGTGATGTATGGCGGCGCTGGTTGACCTAGACCACGAGGCACACACTGTGGAATTCGCGGGGTCGGCTATGCAGCGACAAACAGCGTTTGTAGGGGAGAAATCCACTACAGTATAATATGGGACCTTACACTGGCTTGAAAATTCACCTATTAAAAAAAAATACAAGCCAGTCAAGTTTCTAATCAACTAACCCATACTTGAAGGAGTAGTGATTAATTGTTTATTGTTTGTACGAATAAATCAGACCAAACTCAGAAAATAAACGTCTCCTTCCTTATTAAAGAGACAAATTATTTCAACACAAGACTTTAATGAAACATCATTGCAGTTTGCCGGACTTGTCCACGGGATCTGAAAAATCAAGGTCAGAAAATAAATAATGTACACAGTACATTGTGGGTTACAGAACGGGTACAGCAGTTAAAATGTAACGATTTTTTTTCCACGGAATGAGCCCACCAGGGCACATGTCAATGACCCACATCAGGGCCTGGAGGCGAAAATATAATAATAATAATAATAATAATAATAATAATAATAATAATAATAATAATAATAATAATAATAATAATAATAATAATAATAATAATATAGGACCATAAAAAAAATAAAAAATAAAAGAAAGATCAATACAGGTTGACAATCCCTTATCCGAAATCCTTAGAATGGTTAGGTTTTTTTTTTTACAGGATCAGCCCACCCGGGCACAGGTCACTGACCCACATTGGGGAGTGGGGGCTAAAATATAATAATAATTATAATTGTAATAAAAATAATACTAATAATAATAATTCATAGGTCTAGGTCGTGTTTCTCACTTTTGATCTTTTTTTTCATTCTTGTATTTCTTTATAATTATTATTATTATTATTTTATTATTACAGTATTATTGTTATTACTATTATTTTATTATTACAGTATTATTGTTATTATTATTATTGTTATCATTCTTATTTTATTTTTGTGTATTTTTTATTAAAAATTTTATTTACTGTGAATAATTATTATTATTACTGTAGTATCATTATTGTTATTATTATAATTATTATTACTATTACTATTACATTTTCACCCCCCAGGCCCCGATGTGGGTCAGTAACCTGTGCCCGGGTGGGCTAATACAGAAAAAAAAAAAAAAAAAAAAAAAGATGCTCCACAAAAAAACTTTCGGTTTTCAGAGCTTCGGTTTTTGGAATTTCGGATAAAGGGTTGTCAACCTGTAGTGAGAAAAGATACAATTATGAATGTTGTGTTGTCAAAGTAGAAGAAACAATTGAAATTTGCGACCCTGTAATTGTGTGTACAGTATATGAGGCAGTCAGATCAGTAACTTGGGACAGTCACAATTTTGTGATGCCATATGGCAGCAGGGCTCTACCAGGTAAGATGGGTTTGTTTGGCTTTGATTTAATTGAACATCGTGTGACGTTTATGAAACCGTGTAACATACAAGAACAGTATGTGATGTATGAACACCGTGTGACACTGTCCCTGAACAGTATGTGATATATGAACACTGTAATGTACTGTACCTGAACACCATGTGACGTGCCAGGTTAAGCTTCTTCAGTGCTACACGTATCAATATAACAAGAAAACTCTACTGTAAGATTCATTTCTCTGGCAAGGTTCTGGTTGATAGAGCGAGCACTGAGCAGCAATGCAGAATTTTCACACCCTGATTGCCACTGCCCAGGATCGCAACTGACAGTGACAGTGCTGACAGGGAGATTTTTTAATTCTCGCTGTGAAAACTTATTGCACCAGGTGTATACATCATGCATTTAATGTATTTGCCTCACACACACACACACACTTCCATATTAACTGCAGTATATTATTATGTGCGTGAAGAGAGAAAGAGCAACAAAATAATAAAACACACCTAGAAAAATAGTATGTACTGATTACATTAATAACATAAATACAAAGTTTGACATGAGCATTTATATAATGTATTTATATTAATATTTAATAATTACTTATAAATGGTACACATAATGTGGAAATTGCCTAATGTTGACATTAGGCGAGGAATTGGTTAATGTCTACATTAGAAATTTGACTTGCCTAATCTTGGGAACAATGGTGATAATGGTGATATTAAGACAGCATTTATGAGGTTGACATTAAATGCCTGTCTTTTGGCTAATGATGAAATGCTGCATAATGTTGAAGTATTTGGCAGTTCTCCACATTATGCATAAAAATAATTAATCACATAACCTTTATCAATCATAAAGCAAGCAATTATTAGTTAAAAGTTTATTGGTTAGGTTAGAACAACATACTGTATTTAAAAATATCATCACTTAATGTTGACATTAGGTAACAAATTTGATTGTCAACATAAAGCAATTTTTAACATAATGCTAATATATATATATATATATATATATATATATATATATATATATATATATATATATATATATATATATATATATATATATATATATATATATATATATATATATATATATATATATATATATATCCGATAAAATAAATGCAAATAGCAAACATTTCAAGTGAAATGAAACAAAATATTGATTGGCTGGGCATATACTGGCTCTAGAATGTATCCGTACTTGCTTCGGTATTTTTTACTTTACTTTTATTTTTATCCTCTTCGCCATTGATCGGCTCGTTAGTTGCTTGGGCGGTTGGTCACATCTCTGTTACACACTGTTGGCAAGTACAGTATTGGCATGAACTGGCTCCTGAATATATCAGAACCTGCTCCAGTTTTGGTCAAGTCTGGCCTTGAATTAGCTCACACTCGGTGCCGCCACAACACTCTCTGGCAGTTTGTTCCAAGAGTTCACAACTCTCATTCTGAAAAAGTTTGCCCTCACTATTTTCTGAACGTGTGGCTTCTTCGATATTCGGCTGTGACCCCTTGTGAGGTGGGTGGGCGCCAGCTCCAGGTTTGTACATTTGACTGAGTGTCCTTTTGAGATGTTTATACTATCCCTCAGTGACCTCCACCACCAAGCACTAGCAAGGTTTGGCACTTTGATTCTTCAAAAATATCCTCACCTGGCTGGCTCTAAGGTCTTACTTAACCTAGATAACCACACCCATCTTGCAAAGTTTCTTGAGAAGGGTTCGCAAATGAGTCAGATCCGTCTTTATTGAACTCACATTCCTCTGATTCGCTTCTCCTGGTTTTGTACAACAGTTCTACAACATCTACTATATTGGTTTAATGTACTTT